CCGCCAATGCACACCCACATCACGGGCTCACACATCACTCTGTCGTGCTCGGCCGAGTCCAAACCCGCCGCGACGATCCACTGGACGCTGGACGGGATGAACCTCAACCACACCGGGGCGCAACTTGAGCTACCGATGGTCGAGGAGAGCCATTCGGGCGACTACCGGTGTCACCTGTACAACTCCGTCACATCGAGGTTCAGCAGTGCAAGCGCAGTGATCAGGATCATGGGTAAGGTTGTTTGTCCCGTTGGAGGAAAATAGTGGATTGTCGTCTATCTCTCAGTGCGCTACAACTGACTGATGACCAATGCAGGGTATGGTCTGCCTTTCAAGAAGCAGTTGAATAGAGAAATGGGGCACGAATGATTTCCTGTGACCTTGCACAGGATTAACGGTACAAAATGGTTGACCGTTTTTTTTTCTGTTTTCCCTACGACGGCAAACAATCCACAGAGTAGTTTGCCTTCCACCCACAGTCAGCTGGTATTGTTTTCCTTGGGCCCGGTGATTGACTGGCAACGAATCCAGGATGTCGTCGGCCTTTTGCCCACGGTCACCTGGAATAGGCTTCAGTTACTTGTGACCCATGATTCAGTGCAGCATAAATTGTTGAAAATAGGTGGACGGATTAATGGGTAGTCGGCTGTCCATTTACTGGATGCCCGAAGATCGACTGGCGTCCGACCCAGGGGATTATCTGACTCTCAACAGAATAAGAGGGAGATAGCGGATGGGATGGACGGATTTTGAAATGGCATGTTATTGTCGTTAAAGTTTGACGATAGCGCCCGCACATCACAACAAATCTCAAGTTGGTTCTTTCCCAAACAAAGTCTTGGCGGTTTCATGCGGGTTTACGTGCCGGACTGGTTTTCATGCTCAGGAATGATGAAGTCAATCTCGTACCATTTGAGATCGAAACTAACAACATAAAATCCGATTTCTTTTTTTTTTAATGATGTTTTCCAATAAACAACAATCCATCCCACAGCACCCATCACAGCCGTGATGGTGAACCACACGGGCGGAGTGGCGGTGGCCGAAGAGCCGTTCACCCTCAACTGTCACGTGAGCGGAGAGGCAGACCTCATCCAGTGGCTGAAGAACGGTCACCTGGTGTCCGCCGACAACACCACCGTCTTTGATGCCGAGAACCGGACGCTGACTCTGAGCCCGGCCCAGCCCGCAGATGCTGGCCAGTATCAGTGTCAGGCTTCCAACGCCGTCAGCAACATGACCAGCATTCCGTACACCCTGGAAGTCTACTGTAAGTCAAAACGTTTGTTCCACTGACTTTTAAGAGTAAGACACGGTCGTTCCACTCGCGCGCTGAATTGTCTTACTAGTGAGAACAAAAACCATGCTAGCATACGGACATTCATCTGAATATCAAGGATATAAAAACCAAATCCAACAGCATTGCAGAGACAGACTTTTCATAGACACGAGTTAGGTCATCTCATGCTGAATTGTCTTACTAGTGAGAACAAAGAGCATGCTAGCATACGGACATTCATCTGGATATCAAGGATATAAAAAAACAAATCCAACAGCATTGCAGAGACAGACTTTTCATAGACACGAGTTAGGTCATCTCAACCATTTTGAGGTATCATTCAAAAATAATCCTGATGTAACCCATGTGATGCTTGCTTTTGAAGACGGCCCAAACACGCCGATGATCACGGCTCCCTCCTTGGCCCTGATTGGAAAACACGTGCTCCTCAATTGCTCCAGCAGCTCCCATCCTCCGAGCGTGTACAAGTGGAGCTTAAACGGCACCCAAGTGGCAAACACCGCCGAGTACCTGACGGGACCGTTGGCATTCAACATGAGCGGGATGTACACCTGCATGGCTTTCAATAATGTCACGGGAAGAAACAGCACCGCCACCCACATGCTCACCGTTTTAGGTAAGCGCCCAAAAATTCTGACATAAATGTTTTCTAAAGCATAAAAATGCATCAAAATATGGTCCATGTTCTCGCTCAGAAGTGGTTTTGCCCGACGTTTGCTTTTGTTGGCTTTTAACAATCCTTCGAAAATGTCCAAGGCAAATATTATCACAGTAAGCGATCGCCCGACTGGCGAGCACTTTTTCCGGGTGATTCACATTTACGTAAAACTATCGAAACGTCTCATTAAATGTTTTCTAAAGTATAAAAATGCATCAAAATATGGCCCATGTTCTCTCTCAGAAGTGGTTTTGCCTGACGTTTGCTTTTGTTGGCTTTTAACAGTCCTTCGAAAATGTCCAAGGCAAATATCATCATAGTAAGCGATCGCCCGACTGGCGAGCACTTTTTCCGGGTGATTCACATTTACGTTCAACTATCGGAACGTCTCATGGCCAGAGGGGCAAATGACGAGGACGCTGCATAGACACATACAGTAGAGGTCCCTCTTAGCCAATGGGATGCCAGGAAGATGCTAGGCAATAGCCAATGGCAGAGCAGCTAGATGTATGTTGCATTCAGGAAACTCGGAGCTGCGAGTAGCAGCCCATACTGTATTTTTACTTTTCGTATCTTGAAATTTCTTTCGTAACAAGAGGCAACATTTTCCTGTTGAGGCGTTTCGTAACTCAAAAATTTAGTTTGAAGAGACGGTCAGTCGAGGTACCACTGTAGTGGATTCCTGATAGTCCTGACTGATAAGCAACCCAATTTAACCAAAACAACAGCATCGACTGAGTTAGTGTGGAGCTCGTGTATAGCGACCGGTAGTCCCTCCCCAAGATATATATTTTTTAAATACTAGAGGCCCCCGGTCCACTGTATGAGGAATTTCTGTCTGCTTATGTTCTAACCTTTCCACAGCTCCAGTGAGCATGGCCTCGATAACGGCGGCTGGTGCACATCCGATCCTGAACCAAATGTTCAGCCTCACCTGCGAGACCGTAGGAAGCGTAGAGACCATCACCTGGATGCATCACGGCGCCCCACTGTACCCGGACGGCAACACAAGCCTCTCCTTGAATAACGCCACCCTCACTTTTGACCCTGTGTTGATGTCCCACAATGGCAATTACACGTGCGAAGCTTCCAACCCTCTCAGCGGCCTCACCAGTGAAAATTATGCCCTCAATGTCATACGTGAGATTTTTTTTTTTCTTTTAATGCCGTATCATGATCAATGACGAGACCACTTGAGTATCTCTGTTGTGTCTTGACAAATTATGAGATGAGAATCAACTCAACTGTATTTATAGAGGACTTTACAACAACCACCGCTGTATAAAAAGGGCTGTAAACGGAGCAAAAATAATTCATACAACAATAAAACAAGAAATTAATGACAAAGACAGTAGAAAGCACAAAAACGGTCAAACTAAAAATCAAGTCTCATGATGAGTCAAAAGCCAAAGGATAAAAATGAGTTTTAAGATGAGTTTTAACCCTTTCAGGGACAGCGGTTACTACAGTGGACAGTTTATCATGTTATCAGATTACTGCGTGCATGAAAGGTTTTAAAGATGGGCAGTAAAGGGCGAGGCCTTTTCAAGATTTGAAAACAAATCTAAGGATCTGGAAAAGAACTCTCAAATGAGCCAGTGAAGGGATGCCAGAGTAGGCGTTATGTGCTCCCTCTTACGAGTACCAGTCAAGAGGCGGCAGCAGCATTCTGGACCGACTGGAGACACTCAATGGAGGATTGACTGACTCCAAAATAAACTACATGACAGTAATCCAGACAAAGGCATGAATTACTGTGCTCTTGGCGAAGGAGAGGCTTGACTTTAGCTTGCTGCCTAAGATGAAAGAAGCCGGATTTAACAACGGTATCAATTTGCCGGCCCACTTTACAATCACTGTCCAGTTTAAAACCCAAGTTCGAGACTGTTGACTTGAGATCAGAAGCGAGGGAGATGAAGAACTGCGACCGGTTATTCGATGCTGTATCGTGACAGCCGATGATGCAACCGGTGTATCGTCAGTGTCATGACAGACAATGATACAATATTTATGTTTTAGATGGACCCGGGGTGCCAAACGTCACGTCACCCATTGTGACGGTGGAAGGAAGCAGTGCCACACTCAACTGCAGTGCCTTGTCATACCCCGCGAGCCAGTACACGTGGTTCTTCAACGGCACCCCTGTGGCCAACACCTCCGCGTACCTAGCAAGTGCTCTCAGCACAAACATGAGCGGCACGTACACTTGCATGGCCCGCAACACAATCACCGGTGACAACAGCTCCGCCGACACCGTGCTGACCGTTCTCGGTGAGACCATGTGAACATTTTCACCATTTTTCAGAATCCCACCACACTTTGGCCTACCTACCTCAACAAGTACCCTTTTTTACAGCATATATATTTCCACTCTTGAAAGTAACTCGTAAACCACCTTTGTGTTTATTTTTGATTCAGAGAAAATCAAACACGTACACATCGAGGTGCCCGTGCATCCTCCTGTGGAAGGATACTCCTACATGATGACATGCAACGTGTCCGGGCCTGCTTACCAAGTGTTATGGCTAAAGAATGGAGAGCCCCTGATCACGGACGCCAGGGTTGTGATGTCCATGGATAATCGGACCGTCACGCTCAACGAGCTGCACCGGAATGATTCCGGACAGTACCATTGCTGGGCTATTAATCCGGCTCAACAGCTAGCAAGCCCTCCTCATCTGCTCCTTGTAAATTGTGAGTATGACGTGGAGACGGTTGGATCCGTCGGGTTAGTCATTTTTTTGCACTTACCACATTTGGTAAGTGTAAGACCAAAAAAATGGTCCATACAATTGAGTGCTTTTGTGAAAGCGGGAGGCCTTTACTTGTGCAAATGCATTTCTTGTTTGATATAAAATAGTGCAATTATATATCCATTCATTTTCCGATCCGCTTTATCCTCGCAAGGGTTGCGGGGCGTGCTGGAGCCTATCCCAGCCGTCTTCGGGCAGTAGGCGGGGGACACCCATGAACCGGTTGCCAGCCAATCACAGGGCACACACAGACAAACAACCATCTGCACTCACACTCACACCTAGCGACAATTTTGAGTGTTCAATCAGCCTGCCATGCATGTTTTTGGAATGTGGGAGGTACCCGGAGAAAACCCACACAGGCCTGGAGAACATGCGAACTCCACACAGGGAGGTCGGAGCTGGAATTGAACCGGGTACCTCTGCTCTGTGAGGTCGACACGCTAACCACTGGACCGGGCCGCCCTGCAATCATATATTTTATTGCATATACAATTTTGCATTTCATATAATTTAAAAAAATATTTTATATTACTATTTGCATTGGTAAGCTAGCATTCAGTGAAACAGGTTTGTCAAAAGAAAATTGTGGCGATTGTTTCAAATCAGAACACGTCTTTGTTTTATGTTTGGCTCGACACTAAACATCGTATGTTTTAGTCATATCGTGTCTTTGAGGTGAGGTGTTTATTTATTCAATTAGAAAGAAATCGTACAGCTTTACTAACACCTCGTGAGGCGCTTCGCCAAACCAACTTTGCGTTTTACGGTTGCAGTTGGACCGGAGACGCCGATGGTTTACGGTCCGTCGATGGCCGTGGAGGGACAGTCGGTAAACTTCAGCTGCTCGGCAGTGTCGCTGCCCGACAGCCACTTCAGCTGGTGGCTCAACATCAGCCTGGTTGCCAACAGCTCCGTGTATGTGACTCCTCCTCTGACGCTCAACATGAGCGGACAATACACCTGCATGGCCCGCAATCCCGTGTCAGGCAAGAACACCACAAGAGCCCTGATGCTCAATGTTATTGGTAAGAACACGCAGCAGTACTCTACGTTTTCTTTTAAAGAACGGTAATATCAGTCGAGATGTGTCATGTCAGCCCACTTCCTTGACACAAATTGCTCAATTCCATTTAGCCAGGATTCATCAAAATTAACGTGTCCTACAGACAGACGTCCATTTGCTACCACATTGGAACCGCGACAGATGGGTGACACCATTTTGTGAGACAGGCACCTAAAAATGTTTCAAAAATAAATCAATTAATCAAATCATGTGTAATGTATACTTAAGTGTAATGTAAGATAGTTTGAAATGATAAAACAGTTTTGGGATCAGTCTGTGGTACATTTCCGGTTTAAAATATTAAAATGGGCGATTCTCAACAATGACTTGGATGATTCCGCGATTGGCGTTTGGGCTTGGTCCCGATCTTACTGTACCTTCTTACAAGTGTGCTGTCATCTTCAGAGAACATCGAGTCAGTGGTGGTGAAAAACGACACGATTCCCATCGATGGCTACAACTTCACGCTCACCTGTGTGGTGGACGGGCCATACACATCCATCGAGTGGAAGAAGGACAGCGCGCACCTGATGGCAACCAATCACTCCCATTACTACATGGAAGAAAATAAGCTTCACTTCGCGCCCTTGACGCGCGATGACGACGGCACGTACGAGTGCGTCGCCAACAATCTGGTTGGTCCTCACCCAAGCCCCCAGTACAACCTCCTGGCAAACTGTGAGTACTGAAGGAATTGACAAAGTACGGTCGTGTCTTTGTGGTGTTGTTCGTAATTCAGCCACGCAAACAGTTCATTTATTACGTGCGGCAATGAGGTGACGTCATCTTTAGTAGACGTCTCCATGAAATAAAGAGATCGAAAAGCCTCGCTTGACTTCCCCAAAATATTTCTACCTCCTCCCGCATGACTCCTCTGTTGATTTGCCATGATTAAAAGGTTGAACACCTACTTCAGTTAGCACTACATTTTGAGTGACGTCATCGCTTCTTCGACGGATGCAGGTCACTTTGGGGACGCATTTGCTGCACACCACCAGACTGAGGTCGTAATTGATATGAAATGTGAACGATGTCAAAGACCAAAAAAAAAAAAAAAAAAAATCGGATTTCATCCCCCAAAAAATCGGAATATCTCCAGTTGGTCCAAAATGCTGCTGCTCGCCTCCTAACTGGAGCTCGTAAGAGGGAGCACATTACCCTAAATTCTGGCTAACAGTAGCATTTTCATCCGCTTGCAGACGGCCCTCTCAGCGTGGCTATCTTGGGTCCAGACTTGTCTACAAGCGACCTCACCATTTCCATCACGTGCGTGGCCGATTCGCGGCCGCAAAGCGAGTACGAGTGGTTTCTAAATGACGTGCCGTCATCAGTCATCGGCGTCGGCAGCATCATCCAAATCCCGCTGCTGGTGTCCAACTACACGTGCAAGGCGACGAACCCCGTCACCAACGTCACCATGTCTCACACTAAGTCCCTCAACCCTTTCGGTGAATACGACTCTTGTTAAATGGCACCGCGTTCCAGCCATAAATTGACATTTAAATTGACTGAAAATGGATCTTCTTTCTTTTTCAGGTTCCGCTTCTGCCTTCCATTCGCCATCCCAAAAAGTGCTCGTGATCATAAGCGTTTTTATGATGCAGGTTCTCTTCTACTGAACAGCCCCAAATCATTTTTTTCAATTTGTAGGTGGCAAAACACAAGAAGGCCAGGCGTCCTTGTTGTCAGTCATTTTTGGTTGTTTGGAGAAGACGCACGAACATTTGTAACAATCTGAGATTTTTCATTTTTAATGGCAGCCTGTTGTGATTATCGCTGTCACTGCACTGGAACACTTTTTCATCCTTTCAAAGTGGCTCCATTTTCTCACTTGATCACAATCAACTCTTGCACTTCTCCCGCCCCCGCCCAAAGTCACGTGAGATCAAACAAACTGTATGGAGTGTGTGTGAACTTTATCATGCGTTGATTTGTAGTATTTATTTCTAAATCAGTAAACCTTGGAAGACTGGTTGGCCTCGTGCCGTGTTGTCTTATTAGTTTTGAATGACAGGTATATGGGGGGTCGGGGGGGGGGCACAGGAGGGCAGCAACTCAGCGAATCCGATCGAGGCGCTATCTATAGTTCTCAGAAGTTGCTCATGTAGCATGCGGCATCACCATACGGGAGATACCAGGAGGCGGGCCAAGAACACAAAACACACTAAAAAAAATGCTGCTGTCTCTCTTTTAATTCATTTTCTCAGCTTACGTTGCTCAGAAATGGAAGCAGTGAAATATTCCTAAGGGCCAAATTCAAGCGGGGCCTCCCGACACAAGACACGTAACAGCCTCTCATCTGTTGCTTTGAAATATAATAAGCTGCAGCAAAAAGTGCTTTGAGGACAATGATGACGTCATATACAGAAGGTAAACACAGGACGAAAACAGGCGGGGGAGCTTTATGGGGACTGAAGCGGGACATTACTCTTTCTCTCTAGCGTTTCACATATTGTTTCACTAAGCGTTTTGGTCCCGTTACCTGTAACAGTGATTGAAAACCACAACGCCCACGGGCGCGTCGTCATCGATTCTTTACATCATTCTTGCTAAGCTAGCAGAGTGTGAAGGACCGGTGCGATTCGTCAATGTGTGTATATATGTGTGTATGTGTGTGTGCACGCACACGCGTCTTCCTCAGTTCTCAGCAGATTTGTCTAGCATGGACTTGAGGTGAGCATGCAGAGGCTCGCACACCGCCTGGTAGGCCTGCGGGCTGAGGTGAAGGTAGTCGTACATGTCCTGGTGGGAGATGCTGCCGTTGGAGTGCACAAAGCCCGGGTCCACGTTCAAGAAGGAGGCGTGAGGCAGGTAGGCGACGGCTTCCCGCACCAACTGGTTCACCTTGGCGTTTCGCTCCCGCAGAGGGTTCGGGGATTTACCTCTCGGTAGGAGTCCCTGCATTGAAGAGGTACGGATGTTTCGGAAGAATCTCTCTTAAGTGTCACTTCAAAGCAATGCATTTCTTTTCCATCTGCTCCAAGGCGATATCTATTGTTGATGATTCAAAATGCATGTACAATACCAAGTAACGGACTGGCAATGACACCGATATTGATTGTATTGTACCAAAATGAAACCAAGTCATACAGAGGCCGGTATCATAGTCACCAATATGCATACTTTAAAAAGGTGTGACTCTTGCAAATCTGATCCAGATAAATTAAGATCCAGGGATCAATGTTAAGATCGGTAATTTTTTTTCTTTACTGATTTGACACACAGGAAAACTACACTTAAAAAAAAAAAAAAAAGATCCTTTGTATTATATACAGTAATTCGAACGTGTACATTGGTTGCACGTGATTAAAATGGAGTAAACCGAAGTAACTTTCCCGTGTTTTCCTCAAAAATAAGTGTTAGCATAATACATATTTATCATGTGCAACCAAGAATCAAGTGCTTTTTTTTTCTCGTGTCTAGCAAAAAAAAAAAAATTGATTCCCAAACTGGTATCACTGATACCAGTGGCAGTGATTAAAAAAAAAAAAAAAAAAAAAAAAACGGTTTCTTACCAATATTATACCAAAACATTTGTGTATCCGATTGGCTTATTCAAAACAACTTGATTTTCTTCTCGTTATCACCATCATCCTCATTGTTATTATGTTTGTAGTACTCGCTCTGTACCGGTGCAGTACGACGAAGGCGTGACGGGCACTTACGAGTACGAGCGTGTGAGCGTGCGGCAGCTTGTTCTTGACCACTTGGACGATTTCCATGATGCCGCCGCAGATCTGCTCTGCGGTATGTCCGCGATTTTGAGTCCCCACCCACAGCACGACGATCTGGAAAGACAAAAGCGAGACAATGACATCACAGCATCCTCATGCTGCGAATGGATGAAATGTACTAAATACCTTTGGGCTGATGTGGTCCAGTTCACCGTTGGTCAGTCTCCAGAGCACGTGCTGGGTGGCATCACAGCCCACCCCGAAATTGAGGGCGTGGAGTGGGGAGAAGAGTTGCCGCCACACCTGCAAAAGAACCCCCATTACCCCCCCCAAAAAAAACAAATCAAGCTTAGCGTACATTTGGGGGAAAATAATGGACGTAAAGGATAGTTTCTTACTCCAAACTGATGCATGAGCTGCACCAGAAAGTCGCCAACAAAGAGGACGTCGGGTTCTTTGTCTTTGCTGTCGGACAGGAAGCGGTGGTGCTGCACACACGCAGTAGAACTATCACTTACAGGAAGTAGCATCATGGAGGATTTTTGCGATATCACGACAGTAGGGTCTGAGAGAACGTTGAGTGTGAGGATAACCACAGAACAACAATTGGAGCTTCACAGGAAAGCATGCGGCTGTGCAGTACAACTTAAGTTATTAACGCAAATTCATTTTGCATTTGTGGTTTACTTACATACTACTTTCAGCATAGGGGTGAAAAAAGTATTGCTTTGCAACCATCCTGTGGCTTCCTGGTGCCAATGAACTGTGTTGAATTGAAGCTTAATTTTGACAAACACAGTGCTTTGCCACTGTGTCATATCAGTGCCAAGGAACTGTGCTGAAGTGAATCGAGGAGCTTCGTTTAAGAAAAAAAAAAGCAGTGATTTGCCGCCATCTTGTGGCTCTTACAGGCAATTATAAAACTCTTTCGGGAGGGAGGTGTCTGTTTAATACTTGTCACTATTGAATCAATTATCAATCATTCAATCTAATTCAGTAATCGGTTGAAATTTGACTTTCTGCCAATATAGGGTGCTGAGAAGCTGCAAAACAGTCAAAAGTAGTTTATAGCAGGACAATGGAGCTTCAGGAAGACTGAAGGTGTGTGGCTGCCGTAATATGGTGCGCCGATAGTCTGGGCAAACATTTTGGTTCTATTTATTTTTTAGGTTGACTCATTGGGCTTAGTCAACTTTTTTTCTAGCCCCGCATCATTTACTGTACTAGCGGATGCTAGCGATCCGTTGGGTGAGCGGGGTTTTGCATGTGAATTGTCTCGTTGGACCAAAACGCATGTAGATTGGCCGTATGACGACGAGGTCGTCACCGGGGAGATGACGCACATTAAAATAACGTTGAGACACAAACCCACCATCGACATCCATCGTCCGTCTCCTTGGGTATCCTCACAGGGGGTGGGTGTGGCGGCCGGATTTCGCTCGTCAGCGCTCATGGCTCAGCTTCGATCTGTGTCTCAAAGCCGGCACGTATGGCTTCGGCACTTTCTGTTTCATCGACAAAAAAAAAACACACAGTAAAGAAAGTGCGAACACGGCGAATCGAACGCTTGTTCTCAACGCCAATTAAATTAGCACTAGCAGCTAGCTTTTCTGTTTTGTGTCTGTTTGTTTTTCATTTCAAAACAATGCGGCTTGTTTGAATTGTCTGCGTTAAAATAATTGTGCGTCAGATTATACGTTGGGGTAAACCATCATAAACTTACATGCACGTTGAATATAGATAACTATTTCGTGCAAAATCCCATCGTCTCCCCAAAAAAATCAGTTTCAGGAAGTCAAGGTTTACGCTCACCACACGAACCATAGCTCCCCATGGGGGTTAAAGCACAATCCATTTTGAAACATTTCACTCCGTTCGTAGTAAATTACAACCACGATTCAACATAAGATAAAAGTGATAATATTTGGTTTGTGAATACTGGGCTTGATTCCCTATAAATGATAAAATGGGAGAAAAGGATGAGCTCCGTTAGCAGACTCCCCTCCAAGCCTGTCTCTATGGACCGGTCCTGTCTCGTTCGGACTTTGAAGAGCACCACCGCTGCGCTCGCCAGGCGCATAAGCAACAGCGCGTTGGATGCGACGGTTAAAATGTTATAAACGCGCCGTGATGTCGCTCAATCTCTCGGTAATTGTTTTGGAATAGTTTTATTTTGACATTTGTACGAAATGTTCGCTGTTAATTCCGCCATACTATCTCTATTGTCCTTTATTTTTATTTTCTTACAGATCAATTCGGCTCATTTAAACCTTAGTTGTTAAAATAGTTGTGCGTCAGGTTATATGTAGGAATAAACTAGCGAACACATGCACGTTCAATAAAGATCATGAAGGAGATTCAAAATCCCGTCATCTTCCAAAATGGAATGAAGTCTCACGCTCACGGCACGTACTATTGCTCCCCCTGGAGGTAAAATTGAATTGTATTTCGAAAAACTTCCCTCCCTCAGTGGTATTTTACAACTCTTATTCAAAATAGGGAAAACATATATTACATTTTAAACACTGCGTTTTATTTTGTTTAAATAGGGAAATGGCAGAAAAGGGTGAGCTATGATGTGGAACTCCCCTGTTGGAGCGTGTCAATGAACCTGTCCAGTGCGATATTTAAGCGCGCCACCGCTGCGCTCCTATGGCGCATCTGTAGCGACGCGTTTGGAGCGACAGTTCAAATTTTTTTAAAAATCGCCGTTAGGTAGGTCAAACTATCGGCAGTTGTTTTTCAATTTTTTATATTTAGGATTCTCTGCTAATTCAGCCATACCCAGCTCAAGTTGGTCGTAGCTAACTTGGACAGAGTGTAGTAACTTAATTCAGGTGCGTCTTCAGTTAAAATTGCACCTGTTGGGCATCACCTCTATACGGCTAACGGGCGAGCTCGGCTGCACCGTTTATGATCCCTCGTACAGGGTGATTTTTTTTTTTGTTTTAAATATGACAAATGTGGATTGGTTTGCAGATGCCGTGGCCTCCTCGGATCTGATCCGTCTCTTGTTCTGGCTTTGCTGACATCCGATAGATGGCGACCTCGCCAGTCTGTAAGTAACTCGGACGTTTGATCGAATACCTGCAACAGGGCCACAACATAAGCTACACTTGCTCACAAGAAATCAACGTGCTGTTTTGGTATTTATTGAACGATATATTTTGCATTGGGGTAGAACTGCTCTGCGTCATCTGAGAGTTGTTTCAAATATTTAGCTTGCTTTGCTACAGGAAAAGGTAAAGCCTCAGTATGACTAATTTTACAGCAGTGCAAACTACAACAAAAGCATATTATGAATGTATTTTTGTATTTATAATCAATGGGGGGCTAGTTTTGGAAAAAAAAAAACTAAACAATTTTTAAGCTTTCGCTGAGTAGCTGCGCTGTCATTCACCTCACAGTAACTTTTGGTAATTCCAGCAAACAGCAACTGAAATTTGAATTGCTTGACTCTGCTATTGTGGTCTCTCTGCGTTTACCTCCCAACTTGAATTTTACGTGCCACCACCCTCACATGCTCCTATCTCTTGTACGGGAAAGTAGATGCTGCATTTGTACAACTATTTAAAATAGTCCATGGGTAAATATTTCTGCGCCTCAGTACCTTTGGGCTCTGGTGGTATCCTGAAGATATACACAACATGGAGACTGTCACAAACCCTCATGAAGCTGCAGTAAGACTAGTCGGGGTTTTTTTTTTGCAGCGGATAAAGAATCTATGCCTGTGAGTATTGTTGTATTATGTATGTCTTCATGTGTTGCTCCACATTTTGTGTTCAACTATCCGTTTTCAAGGATTACACCATGACACAGATGTTATTAATTAGCCTGTCAGTGCAGTTTTGCTACATTGACTTTCCTAAAGCAAATCTGTGTGGTTGTTTTAAACATACAATGTATAATTGGTTTCATTTGATGTTTAGTTTGACAGTAAATGTCAACTGTCGGTTGGAATAAAACTCCTTTGTTGAAAATTGGGAGCTATAATAGACACTTTACAGTTATGTGTTTGGCACACACCAATTCTTTTTTTTTTTTCCCAAGTCAAGATGAACCACGCAGCAGAGGAGCGATCCATCAGCACCTGCAAATGCCAAGCAGGCACGAGCAAGCACAAAACGAAACGGCTGAGGTCGCGTAAGGAGCGCAGTCAGACGAGAGACAGGAAGGACAGCTGCAAGGTCAAAATGGGCCGCTGCCACCCTGACGGCGGCCTGGATGTCAGGCACTTGCACGGCTGCTGCCGTCACGGCAGGAGGAGGGACGGTGCGTCGCCTCCGCCGCCGCTCTGCGAGGCGCTGGCTCCCACGCAGGAAGCCAGCGTCATCACGGAGGCCCGCCTCATCGGCCACCGCGGGCTCTTCAACCGCGAGGTGAAGTCCATCGACATTGAGCGGCTGTTATTCAGGAAGAAGGAGGCAAAGGTTAAGGAGACGTCTTCGCATGTCATGAGTGATGCCAGTGGCCCCGATGAGGAGGTTCAAGCCACTGAGGCCCAGGAAGGTTGCGAGAAGAAAAGCCAGGCGTCAGACGTGACACCGAGCCAAAGAGAACAAGAGCACCCTTCATCCGCATGTTCTGCCGACGCCCCGTTGGCAAAGACCTGGAAACCCGATCCACGCCAGAGGCCGCCGCCTTCTGCTGACCGCACAAAGAAGCCCCCTGAGCTAGAGCAAGAGCCCAGCCCCATTCTTTGTCGACCCATCGCTGCGGAAACCGGGGTGAAGGCGCACGGCCAAAGTCAAGGCGCCACCCGGGAGTCCGTCGCCGCGGTGTCTCAGCGCCTGCGCGAGGCCTTGCGCTTCCCTTCAGCGAAGAAGCGGGACCTGGTGGCGGAGAGCAGGGAGGTGTTGCTTCGAGCCCTGCGAGAGGCGCACGGCCAGCGCCTGCAGCAGAACCTCCTCCACATGCACTCGGGCACCGGGCCCCGCCCTCACCCCAGGAGGGAGGTGCATAATCGCAAGGCCGCACGGAAAGCCCGGGATAGACGCTTGACGCCAGGTAGGTCCACAAGCTCCAGCTTCCTCTCAGGAATGGAAGCTAGCTGTTGACTGACGAGGAGGACAAATCTTGATAATATTAAAACAAAAAATAAATAAATTTAACATTTATTTTAAAAGTTTTATTTGAGATTCAAATTGGTCATTAGGGGGAAGGGGGGGGGGAACGGCATTCCAGACTTATTTCATATTTTAAAAATTATTTTCAAGCATTCTTTTCCCTTAGATTTTTTTTGGTCTTTTTAATTTACGCATAGCTGACAAAAATCTTAGTTCAAAAATCTTGTTGTTGTTTTTTAGACACATTCCCATCACCATTTCAAGCCCACTCATCGGATTCCTTCTTTTTCGGAAGTGAGGACTCTCTGGTTTTGGAAAACACAAGGAAAGGAACGAAGCAGGTTTCCTGGGATCTCAGTGGCTCGCCACTGCAGCACGTCAGCCAGGTATGAATGTCTTTTATCTTTATTTTTTTTTTGCCTTTAGCCACTTCAACCTCTCCGTTGTCTCCTTTGAAGATCGGCGCTTGGCTAACAAGCCCAATGGACAGCTCGGCAGGCTTCTTGGAGGACATCATCAGGCCTCGTATCTCGCCGGAGTTCAGCATGGACTTCGGCTCCTCCAGTTCTTCGTCTGTGGCGGTTCGTGGGCTGTTCGCCCCACCGGACGCCTGGCCAGTGGAACCCCCGGTAAACGACTTCAGCAAAGCCACCATCGCGTTGGATCCCTTCGAGGACTGTTTTGCGCAGAGACGGTGGCGTCGGTCGCAGGTGCTCTCCACGCAACAAGGCCCCAGTCAGGAGCTGGCAGGCCGATATTCACAGGAGAACTTTCCCCTGCAGCGGGACGCCTTATTTGAAAGTCAACAGTACTCCTTTGCCCCCACTTTTTCCTCCGACCCTTTAACCTCCCTCCGCGACCACCATTTCCAGCCATCTTACAGTCTCGAAAGCCCTCCATCTTTATTCGTGTCCTTGTCAAGCCCCAAGCAGTGGTCCTTTCACCCCAGGAAACAATACTGACGCACCACTTAAGTTAGAACTCTAGGAAAAAGCCTTCTTGACAAAAACGTGTCCGAACGCTGTATCCTGTTGGATATTGCATGATTGGAATAAGAATTCTGCAGATTATTTCATTTGTTTTCATCCATCGCAGGCGACTACCATTTTGTCCTACGCCGCCCCCTGCTGGCGACCGAAATTTATGTCTTAGTGCTCCCGGGCTCGCACTGCAAATGTCTCGAGACCGAACCCAGAAAACGGGTGAGCTGTGAACGCTCCCGATACAAGCTCGAGGGCACGTCGATGTCAATTTCAGTTAACATAAGAGGGCGGTAGATCAGGCCAAAATGGCAGCCGCGTCAAATAGATGAAAACAAATGGAATAATCGGATTCATTCCACGAATGCAATATTCATCAAAATACCATATTTAGACTAGTTGGGTGCACATGGACCGTAACGTATATCATATCCGCTTATTTTTGTTCTTTGCTAAACACTCATAATAAGCCGTTGGGTCCCCGAAAAAAAAAAAAAAAAAAACAGTGAAAGTGTGCCGTTTGATTTAGAAATAGTCACAATAAACCCAGAACAAAGCGTGGAATGTCATGACGAATTCAAAACAATCTGCCGAGCGACGGCTTGTCTCTCAAAAACTCGTTAGTCAAGGCACTCATATCTCAAGGCACGTGCATTTTATTTCACAATTTCAAACAGTTCCCCGGTGTCTGTGACCTATGTTCATTCAAATTACCCCAAAAATATCAAAGATGATGGGACCATGTTTTTTAGTTGCGCTAGAATTACCCTGTTCTCAATTCACCTTCTGCAGATTAAATGAACTGGATGACTGAGAATCTACACAAACTATTTAATCCATGTAAAAATTTCCGTCTGCTATGAGAGTCTGAGTGTCAGAATCTCCCAAATCGTCAAAAATCTTGATAATATTAAAACAAAAAATAAATAAATTTAACATTTATTTTAAAAGTTTTATTTGAGATTCAAATTGGTCATTAGGGGGAAGGGGGGGGGGAACGGCATTCCAGACTTATTTCATATTTTAAAAATTATTTTCAAGCATTCTTTTCCCTTAGATTTTTTTTGGTCTTTTTAATTTACGCATAGCTGACAAAAATCTTAGTTCAAAAATCTTGTTGTTGTTTTTTAGACACATTCCCATCACCATTTCAAGCCCACTCATCGGATTCCTTCTTTTTCGGAAGTGAGGACTCTCTGGTTTTGGAAAACACAAGGAAAGGAACGAAGCAGGTTTCCTGGGATCTCAGTGGCTCGCCACTGCAGCACGTCAGCCAGGTATGAACGTCTTTTATCTTTATTTTTTTTTTGCCTTTAGCCACTTCAACCTCTCCGTTGTCTCCTTTGAAGATCGGCGCTTGGCTAACAAGCCCAATGGACAGCTCGGCAGGCTTCTTGGAGGACATCATCAGGCCTCGTATCTCGCCGGAGTTCAGCATGGACTTCGGCTCCTCCAGTTCTTCGTCTGTGGCGGTTCGTGGGCTGTTCGCCCCACCGGACGCCTGGCCAGTGGAACCCCCGGTAAACGACTTCAGCAAAGCCACCATCGCGTTGGATCCCTTCGAGGACTGTTTTGCGCAGAGACGGTGGCGTCGGTCGCAGGTGCTCTCCACGCAACAAGGCCCCAGTCAGGAGCTGGCAGGCCGATATTCACAGGAGAACTTTCCCCTGCAGCGGGACGCCTTATTTGAAAGTCAACAGTACTCCTTTGCCCCCACTTTTTCCTCCGACCCTTTAACCTCCCTCCGCGACCACCATTTCCAGCCATCTTACAGTCTCGAAAGCCCTCCATCTTTATTCGTGTCCTTGTCAAGCCCCAAGCAGTGGTCCTTTCACCCCAGGAAACAATACTGACGCACCACTTAAGTTAGAACTCTAGGAAAAAGCCTTCTTGACAAAAACGTGTCCGAACGCTGTATCCTGTTGGATATTGCATGATTGGAATAAGAATTCTGCAGATTATTTCATTTGTTTTCATCCATCGCAGGCGACTACCATTTTGTCCTACGCCGCCCCCTGCTGGCGACCGAAATTTATGTCTTAGTGCTCCCGGGCTCGCACTGCAAATGTCTCGAGACCGAACCCAGAAAACGGGTGAGCTGTGAACGCTCCCGATACAAGCTCGAGGGCACGTCGATGTCAATTTCAGTTAACATAAGAGGGCGGTAGATCAGGCCAAAATGGCAGCCGCGTCAAATAGATGAAAACAAATGGAATAATCGGATTCATTCCACGAATGCAATATTCATCAAAATACCATATTTAGACTAGTTGGGTGCACATGGACCGTAACGTATATCATATCCGCTTATTTTTGTTCTTTGCTAAACACTCATAATAAGCCGTTGGGTCCCCGAAAAAAAAAAAAAAAAAACAGTGAAAGTGTGCCGTTTGATTTAGAAATAGTCACAATAAACCCAGAACAAAGCGTGGAATGTCATGACGAATTCAAAACAATCTGCCGAGCGACGGCTTGTCTCTCAAAAACTCGTTAGTCAAGGCACTCATATCTCAAGGCACGTGCATTTTATTTCACAATTTCAAACAGTTCCCCGGTGTCTGTGACCTATGTTCATTCAAATTACCCCAAAAATATCAAAGATGATGGGACCATGTTTTTTAGTTGCGCTAGAATTACCCTGTTCTCAATTCACCTTCTGCAGATTAAATGAACTGGATGACTGAGAATCTACACAAACTATTTAATCCATGTAAAAATTTCCGTCTGCTATGAGAGTCTGAGTGTCAGAATCTCCCAAATCGTCAATATCCGGCGCCGCCCGAGTTTCGTCATTCTCCTCCGTCTCCAGTTTGCTCCCCGCCTTGACCGCACGCCGCAGCTGACTCCAGAACAGCTCCCGGGCTTGCTCGGGGTCAACGCAGTCCGAGGCGGGCCACTGCAGGTACGTCTTCTTCAGCATGACCTTCCTCATACGGTGGTAGGAAGATATTTGGCGCTCCGAGACGGGCTCCAGGAAGACGAGCAGGAGCACGTCGCGGTGTTCGTCGAAGAGCCGGTAGCTGGCCAGCTGGATCTCCAGAGAGCACCACTCGCTTTGGAGGAAATTGCGGCTCACCACGCAGATGGTCTTGCGACTGCTGTACACGGCCGCCACGATGTTGTCCACGATGTCCCGGCCGGGCTCGAAGTCGCGGTGATGCAGGCACAGTTTCAAAGACGAGCCTTTGCCCTCCAGGTTGGGCAGCAGCTGCAGCATGACCCAGTCTTCGTCGTTGGAGTTGTACGACACAAAGGCGTCATACGCGCAATTCTCCTCCTCCTCTCGGAACTTGCGCCACTGCTCCCCGAACCAGGAGCGAAACGCGTAGTAGCCGTACTTGATTTTCCAGTAGAGTTTGACGTAAAGCAGCGGGAAGGCGGCCAACAGGGCCACCGCGGCGGACGTGCTGAAGAAGAGATACTTGCCGAGGTCGATGTAGCACACGTTGGTTTCAAAGTTGTAAAAGTTGCTCTTGTCGCCCTCCTGGCACGGCAGATTGTAGACGTACACCACTTGGACCCTGTCGTTGTGCACCGTCCAGTTCTGCAGCCGGCTGTTGAGGCAAGTGCAGCTGAGCGGAAGATGGCGCATGTCCAAGTAGCGCAGGCTGGGCAGACTGTTCAACACGTCCACGTCGAGGCTTTGCATGCCGTTGTGGGTGAGCTGCAACGTCTGCAAGCGGGTGAGGTTGCCAAACACCTTCCCGGAGAAGTTCTGGATGCCGGCGTTTTCCACAGTCAACTTGGTCAAGTTGCGCAGATTCTTAAAAACACCCGGCGGCAGCCTGATGTTCACGTCGCAGCACTTGTCCAGCGTGAGGAAGCGCAGGTACGTCAGGTCGTCGAAGGCGTCGGCGGCAAAGTACGAGATTTGATTGTTGGTAAGATAAAGAGACCTGAGGTTGCGAAGGCCGCGGAACAGCTTGTGCGGCAAGTGGGTGAGGCCGTAAGGACGCTGGCCTCCCAACTTCAAGTCGCTGAGCCTGCTGAGGTTCACGAAGGGCGAGCTGGCGTTCAGCGTGGAGAAGCGAATGAAGTTCTCCTCCAAATCCAACACCGTGAGCGTGTGCCAAAACACGGCGTGGAGGCTCATGTCGATCTGTTTCAGCTTGTTTCCGTCCAGGTACAACTTGGAGAGGCGTCCGAGTCCTCGGAATCCCGCCGAATGAATCCGGACGATTTTGTTCCCTCCGAGGTCCAACGTGGTCAGATCGCGCAGGCGCAGGAACGTCCAGTTGAAGATGACCGAGATGCGATTGTTGCGCAGGTTGAGAGTCTGCAGCGCGGACAGATCTTCAAAGGTGTCGCTGTACAGGTCGGTGAGGAGGTTGTTGTCCAGACGCAACGTCTTGAGCCTGTGCAGCCCCTTCAGAGCTTTATGGCCGAGAAAGGCGATGATGTTGATGTTTAAATTCAACGTCACGACGTTTGGCGTGTGATTGAAGGCGTAGTCGGACACCATGAGGATGCGGTTGTAACGGAAGCTGAGCTCCTCGAACTCCCAGAAAGGACGACGCACCTGCTTGCAGGAGTAAAGGTTGCTCAGGTGGTTATGCTCTATGACCAATTTTTTGAAATATCGATTCTCGCCGAGGAAACCCAGGCAATTTAACATTTTGTTTTTGACGCTCTTCATATGATTTCCTGACAGATCCAGAGATGTCATGATTCTCGGGCAATGGGACAACGTGTCGTTTGGCAATTCCCTGATGCCGTTGCTGCCCAGGCGCAGCGCGTTGAGACTTTTCACCTTCCGCGTCAGCAGGTTGCACAGCGCGAGTAGCATCGAGTTGTTTTTCACCCCCGTGCCCGTGAAGTCCACGTGGCCCGCGTGGATGTTGCTGATGTCCAACAGCGTCATCACGTTGACCGCCGTCGAGTGCAAGTTGAGATAGTTGGTCCGCGCCAGGTCAACGCCCAGAAAAGCTTCGGCGGCGAGTCGGGAATTGTAGGACAAATCCAAGATCTTGACGTCGGAGAGGAAAGAGCGCTCGCATCCTAACGCGGACAGGTTGTTTCGACACAGATACAACTTGGAGAGGGAACGGGGAAACGGAATGCGGTTGTGGTGCAGAGAGGTGAACTTGTTGAGGCAGAGGTTCAGTTGAAGCAGATCGCTCAAGTTGGACACGGAATCGACCATCTCTGTGAAGTTGGCGAGGAGGTTCTGCTGCAGCATTAGAGTGGAGAGATTGGGCATGGCTGAAAAAATTCCTCCCGGTAGCCGCTTGAGTCGATTGGCCCTCAGGGAGAGAAAGGTCAGATTGTGCAAGCTGGCAAACAGCGAGGGCCTCAGCTCGGAAATGTTGTTGAAGGACAAGTTCAGAGACCTGAGTTGATGCAGCTCCCCGAAAGCGGAGCCCTCGATGGCCATCAGACGGTTGTTGTCTAACCGAAGCAGGTGAAGGTCCTTGAAGCGGGCGAAGGCTTTGTCGGGAATGTACCTGATCGGGTTGCCCAAAATGCTGAGATTGACGATGTGTTGCGGCAGGTCGTCCATGATGACGGAGATGTTCGGCTCCCTTCGCTGGTTGCATTTGAAGCTGCGTCGATTCGAGTTCTTCTCTTCGATGCAGTTCTTAAAGGTATACGCCGCCACCGCCGCCAGGACCAGCCCGAAGCACAACAGCCGATAGACGAGAGCCGCCATGGACCCGCTTGCTCCCGTCGATGCGCCGACGTCTTTCCGCGTTACTTTTGGACCTCCATCGGGGTAATCTGAGGGTAGAAACGAGGACAGAACATGCATCACATTAAGCGGAAGCTGCGTGCGCAGGTTGTCGTCGTCGACCTCCCGCTGCGTCAATCTTTACGACCGTCCGAATCTCGGCACACAAACTTCTTTCGTCTGGAAACTGTTCACGAGCTGAAATGTTGAAATTGCCAGCAATGCAACTAATGTTAAAGACCCAGACAGGAAGTTCTTTTGTGCGTAGTTAAACCAATATAGAAATAAGCTAACTCGCACATGCTAGCGAATCACTGTGCGACGTTGATACCTCTTCACATATTATACGGTACCTTTGCTAACGCTATCACCACCGGGAATCTGTTTTTCCGTCGTCAACACCAACAATCATTTTTCTGCCCTTTTCTTTGAGGTTTTGGCTTCATCAAAACGTTTACTGCGTAAACCACGCGGGGCTACCTGATGACGTTTTTATTCTTCAAAGTGCAGATGGCGGATTTTTCAAAAACAAACTGTGGCACGAAATGACAAACGCAAAAATCATTTTATGTCTAGCCGTTACTTCCTTTTTGCTTTTCAACAGTATTACGATTTGTGGTCGCGAACCAAGGCAAGGTTTCTTGGAAGATTTTGTTTGTCAACTGAATTGTTCGTGAACAGAGGTTCCGCTGTGTTGCTACTTCAGGACCTGAACGATTTATTGGAGATTCTCTGTGCTCTCCTGTATTATTGTTCACCTCGGCCTATTCACAACTCACCATTATTCGGTTTGGTCTCTTTCTGTTACAACCTCAGGTGCCACATGATGGTGACGAATTCACGGCTAATGGGAAAGTAGTAATTAATCTCAAGGCAGTGATATCGTGATATCATACTTGCTGACTGTTCGTTGATCTTTTTATGTGAAGGAGGAGCTCAGTCTTAGTTTGAGAATGCGTTGCTAGTGGAAGATACATCATTTTTTTAAAGGATTTACGGCCGGACGTTTCACACTTGGCTGGCCAATCGGACTCCATTTCCTGATGTCGCTCACGACGCCGCATCCCTTCAAGTCAAACATCCAACACAAGTATAGTAAGTACAGAAATGACCCTTTATTAAATCCACTTTATTTCTTTCCATTCCAAGTGCTCATTTTCTTTGACAAAGTGAACAACTTGGCTGGGTTTTTTTGGGGGGGAGGGTGAGCGTATGATTGGCATTTAATTCATTTCCATGGGGAAAATGCAATTGATGTAAGAAAAGAAAATTGTTGCAAGCTCGCTCCTTGAACAAATTGAACGTTTACACATACAAGTCACGCATCAAGTTGGCTGCTGACACACATTGAACCTCGAGTGTCAATCCTCATCCGAGCGCCTGAGTAAACATTAATGTGAGGCTGACATTTCCTGGTTAAAAATGGTCATTTCCCTTTTCACATGTTGACAGGACCCAGTTGCACACAGGAGTTCTTGTTTCGCTTTAAATTTTTTTTTTTACAGCTATGTTGTATTACCTATAATTAATCAAATGCATCAATTAAAGAATTGAAATAAAATTTAAACAATGATTTGACAACACACGCGCACATGCACTGGGCAAATGGAATATTTCTCGGAAGGATGTGATTGGCGTAATAATTACCAAAACAAAAGGCAAAGAGAAAAAAAAAGTGAGGTTGAAATATGTAAAAGTATTTATTTTAATCTTAAAATAATGGACTCTCATTTTGCATAATGAATATTATCCTAGTTAAAGCACTAAAAGCTTATTTGCAAACCGTTCATTTTACTGATATCTTGATATTTCCAGTAATGAACAAGAAATTACAAATACAATTTCATTAAGCAATTTAATGTGTGTGTGTGTGTGTGTGTGTGTGTGTGTGTGTGTGTGTGTGTGTGTGTGTGTGTGTGTGTGTGTGTGGAGGGGGAGTGGGGTGAACAACCAAATGACCAAATTCACTTTAAAAGGTACTTATCGATCATGTGATTAATAAACTGAGTAACTTCTCCCGCTTCTGCAATATAATATGTTAGTTTAACATCTTTTAATCATGTGCAACCACTGCAAATGTTCAAATTATTTGAAGTCAAAGGACTTTTTTTTTTTTTTCCTTCTTCTGCGCATCGGACTCTTGATCATGTTAAATGTTGGATGGGCCACATCCAACAACGGCGGGCGGCATACAGCCCATGCGCCATATTTTACCCACCGCTACTTGATCGTGATTATATGAAATTCAAGAGAGTGAAAATACAGCGTAATGTGAGTTAAAGAATTATTCACTGTCCAAAAAAATTATATGTGTGTGTGTGTGTGTGTGTGTGTGTGTGTGTGTGTGTGTGTGGAGGGGGAGTGGGGTGAACAACCAAATGACCAAATTCACTTTAAAAGGTACTTATCGATCATGTGATTAATAAACTGAGTAACTTCTCCCGCTTCTGCAATATAATATGTTAGTTTAACATCTTTTAATCATGTGCAACCACTGCAAATGTTCAAATTATTTGAAGTCAAAGGACTTTTTTTTTTTTTTCCTTCTTCTGCGCATCGGACTCTTGATCATGTTAAATGTTGGATGGGCCACATCCAACAACGGCGGGCGGCATACAGCCCATGCGCCATATTTTACCCACCGCTACTTGATCGTGATTATATGAAATTCAAGAGAGTGAAAATACAGCGTAATGTGAGTTAAAGAATTATTCACTGTCCAAAAAAATTATATTAAAAAAAATCTGTGTGAACTTCAATTGTTGTGACAGTTGACATGGACAAAAAAAAAAAAAAAAACTGCTTCCATTTGTCTCGCTGCACTATTTACGTAACAACGAATCGTTCTCTTACGCTTTCCATTTTTTTGTGCATTCCAAAATAAGGAATCATTGCAACATAAACACACTTTGACCACTTCAGGCTCCCTATGAAAACATACCCTTTTGCACACTCTTCACATAACATTGCGCGAACAAAGACAAATCTGAGTATTTGACAAAGAATGAGTCGATTGCAGTATTATTTTGTCTCACCCGGTCAAAGGAAATGCGCCTCGTTGCCTTCGCTGTGTCTTGTTCGTCGGAAAGAGGAAGACGACACTGTTGGCCTTTGCATTCACATGTGCTTTACTGACGTCAAATAAAGATTGAACAAATCCAAAGAGCGAAACGTGAAAATGACAGCTCAGACACACTTACGGCTAATGGGATGTTTATTGGAAGGACGTGATTGGCAAAATAAATAATGAGTCAAAATGCATAAATACAGTTTCATTGCACTTATTAAACTAATCATAAAACATCAACCATATGTATAGATGTTTTTTTTTTTTTTGTGGGGGTGAGTGAGATTGTGGAGGAACCATACTGAATTTAAGGTTACCGTGTGTCTCATGCTACTCCCGCTACTCGCTAGCCACCATATGCTGTAGCTTATAATCGCGTGTGGGTGTTATGTTTGAACGTTTCAGATCAGTGATTCCCAACCACAAATGTACAGCACGGAGAATATCAGGTGTGCCGCAGAAAATTATCCGATTTCACCCAAAGTTGCCGTAAAGTGAATTTTGGCTCACCACAGCCAAATTTGAATGATTCAAAAAAAATCATCAAGTGCAGAAGATAAGGTACTGTATATAAAAAAAAATTTTTTAAAAAAAGTCAAGCCCTTGTCACCGCTCTCAAATGCTGTGGCCATGTTTGCAGAATCCGTTCGCCCTGGTTCATCGCTGGGCTTTTTCACACCCCAGCCCATAATCCAACATAATGACTGTTAAATTGGACTCGTAGAACCCCTCTTTGGTGGTGTGTTATGAAATTTTCCGATTGCGCCTTGCCTCGATAAAGGTGGTGAATCTCTGGTTTAGATAACGTCAGTAATTTATTTCATCTCAGAAAAAGGAGAAGTATTATCATTCATCCTGTTGACTTCTCATGACTCGTATGTCAGTTCATAATGTCACTTCAAACACAGAGTCCTCCATTTTTATTGGTTGCCCCCCTTCTTATCCTCTCATCTTTTGCTCTCTGGCCATTTGACACAGTCCACACAGCGGAAGGCAGGCCATGACCAACCAATCTTTACATACCGAGCCCTGTGGGAGGAAGCGAGAGGTGCACACGGTTAGATATTTTGACCATACACAATGCAGTATTTCCTCAAAAGAGCGGCAGGTGCTTCTGGTGATAATTGTAAAAACGTATTTCGTGATTGCAGCATGGAGGCCACAATTTCAGCGTGTACACGTGGGCAATTGTGCGAATAAAAGGGATTACAAAATGTTACTAATTATGTGAATGGTGAAAACATTCAATTCGCCCTGAGAACAATTTTCAATTTGCCAAACTATTGTCCATTTGTGGCCTGCGATTGGCGGGCGACCAGTCTGGGGTGTACTGGCTAGGAAGAGCAAGCTTTCACACAGTGGATGAATGGCTGCAAGTTTTAATGGTGGATGGATCATGTAAGGTATTCAGAAAAGAATATACACTCCAAGAAAAAGATGTTTGGAAAAAAAAAAGTATGCTTGCCCCCCCCCCCCCCAAAAAGACTTATTTTTGCCTGGAGTTAAAAATAAAACAAAAAAAATCCACTTCACCCAGTTTATTCCATTCATGTGCAGCATGACAGCTGAATGCTGCTTCACCATGTTTGTTTTGCACTCTGGGCTCTCCTTTTTGGCCTGTGAGTCTGCCAACTTCAGAGCCCCACTCAGTTTACAGTTTTTAAATCAACAGATCGAAAAGATTAAAGGCAAACGTGCTCAAAGTTAAAGACAACTGAGCTGCACTTCACAAATATAGCATCTTGGATTAAGCCATTTACTTTTACTGGTCAGTAGCGCCAAACAAGGTGGTTGTCAAGCATTGTAACCTGCCCAAACTTACTTCAATGCGGTACTTGTGGCGAATGCTGGTCCTCAAAGCCACCGAGGAGCTGGGGAGGAAGGCCAGGCAGCAGCTTTCCCCGTGGTCCTGAGCCACCTTGCACTCCAGGATGCACGGCAAGAAGGTCCCGCACAGACCTGTGAACCAAAGACAGTGTACAGTTAAAGCTCCACTGGACACTGCTCGACGGTTTCAACGCATACAGATCCCGCAGTTGTCGCAGCAGTCCAGTGTGTTGGAGCTCCAGTCGGACATGGCGTACTGGTGGACGCTGACTTGAGGCTGGGAACTGATCACGCTGGGCTGGAAAGACATGTTCACCGCTGCGCACTTTTACCCTCGGGTGGGCTCTTATAACCCCCACATGACCCACCTCGAGTGTTTGATTTCAGGGCGTAGCGCACCAGTCAAAAGGGTGCACCCAACATGATTGATTTGCGTCGTATTATTATTATTTATCATCTGGCAATAATTGAAGAGCGAAGGATGAATGAGAATAGAGTGTGTGTTGTGTACACACTCACGTACACACACCCACCATCTACTGAGCATGACCCACGAATGATAAATTGTCAAACGTGTTTGTATTTGGTCAGTATGTATTCTACTCGCCGTCCAAATGAACAAATCACGCATTCATCCATTTTCTATGTCGCTAGTCCTCAGCAGGGTCGCAGCTGACCTGGAGCCTATCCCAGCTGACTCGGGGCGGGGAACACGCTGGACTTGTCACCAGCCAATCGCAGGGCACATGTAAAGAATAACCAGCCATCCATTTTCTGTAGTTTCTGTCGTATGTTTGTACACTCTGGACTGTTTGAACACCCTCCCTAGGACTAGGTACAGTGAATACAAAATGCCGAAACGCCGACTAAATGTTCATCTTCTATTGCTAGGTGTTTGTGGTATAAAAAAATTTCTAACTTTTTTCCACTAATATGTCCTATAATCATAGGCATGGGGGTGCTGAAGTACCCTGAAAGTAAATCCAAGCACCCCAGATTTTGGGCAATCTTAAGAATTTACTCTATAGTATTTTTTTTTTTTTTGTTGAAAAGAGTTAAAACCAGGAAGTACTTGGTAGACATGTAATATTTTATCAACAAAAAAGTACGGTACACAGTGAAGCTTTTTCGGGCTGTACCATGAATACATTCATAAATTCATTCCAATGAAAATTTGATTTGGTCGTACGTCAATGCATGCAGCTGTAGCTATAATATTTTGCTGAATAAATATAGCACTACTAAGAAATTTGAAAAGAGAACCGTGACAATTTAGCCTCGTTTCACTCTGAAACGCCTGCAAGTAAGCAAAGGAAGTGAAAGTGTTTTGTTGCCGTTAGGCTGTCATGGAAAAAAGGCAAACGTTATCCTCTCACATGCCGCCCCACACCAATAGGGGGCAGGATAGTACGGTTAATCAGTCCTCTGCCTTAGTTCAACTTGTTTTTTGGCTAATACATGTGTCGCATTCAAGAAACTGAAAGCAAATGTCTTTTGCCTTCGCTGGATCGCTGTTTTTTTTCACCGTGAAAGTTATTTTCTTTGTACATTTAAGAAAGTGGTGGCAGGGAATGCAATACTATTGAAATAAATATTGAGAAGGGCCAAAGCAGTGACCACTACAAGATCCCTGTTGGATTTTTTTTTTCTAATCTTCTCACAAAACAAGCACATTTTGAGGGTCTAAACATGCACAGAAACTCATGAAATTTCAAGTACATCGGGCCTGGTGAAAAAAATTCCTCACACATGATTACAAAGAAATGGGTTGGCAAGCCCTGTCGTGATACTTTTGAAAATTGGGAGGGATGCGTGGCATCCCAAGTATGAAGTCAACAGTAGCCATGTCTTAAAATGAACGGGAAGAGAGCTCGGATTATTTTTCACCATACAATTTTGGCCTATTTTTGCACCTGCACAGGGGTCATATAACTTTGCGAAAACTTGGCTATTTAAAAAAGTGGACAGGCACTATAGAGGCCCAAATATTCGGATGAAAGACCTTGAAAAGTCTTACTTTTCATACAAGTATATAAAGTTCAAATGTCATGCACATGCACTACTTGATTAGAGTATGTGCTTTTTTGTCGAAAGCCGTGCCCATTTCAAACAACTTTGACCGGAGCAGAAGTAAGAGAGACATCTGCGCTATTGTGCAAGTGCAGAGTTAACAGAAGACCCTCAGTCGGGACAAAAGTAACCACAAGATGATTCAGTTCCTCACACTTTTGGCAGATGAGATGCTTGTGAACATAAATCGGTCAGGAAAAAATATTTCTTTTTTTTTTTTTTTACCTTCGGCCTAAAATGTGGAAGTGTGAACAACACAGAGCATTATGGGAGAATGCAACTTAAGTTTATTGTATGTTATTTGTTTTTAATAGGTTGAAGTTAGTTTAAGTAATTGGACAATCACAGTTTGGATGGTGAGTGAAAGTCCATTAGATATATAGACAGACAGACAGATAGCTAACTTGCTAGCCAGATAGCCAGCCAGATAGCCAGCTAGAAAATTAATCCGTCAAGAAAAAAAATTTCTTTTTTTTTTTTTTTACCTTTGGCCTAAAATGTGGAAGTGTGAACAACACAGAGCATTATGGGAGAATGCAACTTAAGTTTATTGTATGTTATTTGTTTTTAATAGGTTGAAGTTAGTTTAAGTAATTGGACAATCACAGTTTGGATGGTGAGTGAAAGTCCATTAGATATATAGACAGACAGACAGATAGCTAACTTGCTAGCCAGATAGCCAGCCAGATAGCCAGCTAGCTCGACAGACACACAGACAGACAAATAGCTAGCTAGCTCGACAGACAGACTCACAGATGGCTAGATTGACAGACACAGATAGACATCTAGCTAGCTAGCTAGCTAGACAGACAGACAGTTAGCTCGATAATCCATGGATATTAGTGTTGCGTTTACAATAAAAATAAATATGTAATTTGAAAATGTGATTTTATATATATAAATATATATATAGTCCTATCAGTGGCTAGAGAGGGCTGGCCTGAAGGACAGCACAGAGGCACTCATCCTGGCTGCTCAGGAGCAGGCCCTGAGCACCAGAGCCATTGAGGCCCAGATATACCACACCAGACAAGACCCAAGGTGTAGGTTGTGCAAAGAGGCACCTGAGACGATCCAACACATAACTGCAGGGTGTAAGATGCTGGCAGGGAAAGCCTACATGGAACGCCATAACCAGGTGGCTGGCATAGTCTACCGAAACATCTGTGTGGAGTATGGACTGGAAAGCCCAAGGTCAAAATGGGAAACACCTCCGAAGGTGGTGGAGAATGACAGAGCGAAGATCCTGTGGGACTTCCAGATCCAGACTGACAAGATGGTAATGGCGAACCAGCCAGATATCGTGATCATAGATAAAGGGCAGAGGAAAGCCGTTGTAGTGGATGTAGCGGTCCCAAGTGATGGAAACATCAGAAAGAAGGAACACGAGAAACTCGAGAAATACCAAGGGCTCAGAGAGGAGCTGGAGAGAGCCTGGAAGGTAAAGGTGACAGTCGTGCCTGTGGTGGTCGGAGCACTCGGGGCAGCGACCCCCAAACTAGATGAGTGTTTGCAACAGATCCCGGGAACAACATCGGACATCTCAGTCCAGAAATGTGCAGTGCTGGGAACAGCAAGGATACTGCGCAGAACCCTCAAGCTTCCTGGCCTCTGGTAGAGGACCCGAGCTGAATGAGGGATGGACACCACCTGAGGGGTGAGACGAGGATTTTTTATTTTTTATTTTTTTTATACAGTATATTAAGATGAAGCCGAACAGTTTCTACTTCTACAAGTCATCACTGTCATTTGTTCATTTCTTTCTTCTGTCTTTCTGGATGTTCTACGTTATGTTTGTATCCTGTCATGTTCGCAGGTCTTCAGATGGTGAGTCAAACTTGTCTTCCTGTTGCTGTGCACCGCTTATTGTTTCATTTGGAGGATTCACGTTTTTGCGTTCATGATGATATTTTAACATTGAAAAACAACAACTAATGATGCTGCTGTCGAACCTTTTTTCCACAGCATCCACATTAGTCACGTACTGTCTGTCTGCCTTAAATGATCGTTCAAACTTTTTTTTTTTTTGGGCCCAAACATGTCACAATTTCCTCCAAGGCAAAAATAAGACACTCATCCATTCCAATGGCAAGCTATGTTTGTATCTGTTCTCTAGTGTGTGAGGATTCGGTTCCCGAAATTGTGACTTCTTCTTTATTCTCATCAATCCAGTTTTGGCTGCGAAAAACAGCTTTGCTTGATACACTTTGCAGTCTGCAACAAACATGGATGATTACATGGTAACCACTGAGGACTACTGGGTGAGTTGCTTTGTTTTTGCGCATTAAGGGCCAAATTGCTGGAGAATATTCTTAAATATAACATTTTCTTTATAATAAGATATAAGAGAGCAAATTGGCACTATATCAGAACATTCCTGTTTTATGTCACAATCAGATTTGTTTCTCAAGCATAGACATACAGTAAGTAAATAAAGAGGCATGCAAGTTGTTTCTCCATGGCTTATGTTAAAATATGATGTTAAGGTGGAAAGAATATTTGTTATTGAGAGGTATTATATTACTTTTCTGTGTATCTATAATGCTGCAAACAAAATTCTTTTCTTTCAATACTGCATTCAGAGAAAGAAAAAGTTGACATCGTGACATATTTTTGGTCAAATGTTTGTTTTTTTTAATATGGAAAACTGAACTATGACCTCGATAAATCAGCAATATGTCATCTTGGTTGGACACCACAGCTTGCATTGGTACAAATATAAAAGTAGGAGCACAGTAGGGGTCCATTTTTGTCTTTGCTACAGTGCTGCCCGTATGTTTAATAGTTGCAACCTCCAGTGTGTCTCGTACTTTGTACAGCATAGCCATGTTCTCTTGCTCTAACAGGTACACATAAACAAAAGCAACTAACTTCAACGTAGTTCCTGTTTCCACAAGATTGCGCCAAAGCACTACATGGACTTCTGTAACTCACTTCAACGTAGTTCTTTGGCCGCAACATGTCAGAGGATGGTGGCAACTGGCAATGTACTACATCAAGCTTCACAGCTCACTTCAACATAGTTCCTAGAACCCAACATGAATCAATTACTTGCAGTTGTTCACAATTGGAGTGAGGGCTCCACGGTATACGATCCATGCTGCTTAAAAGATACATTGTTGTGCGTCTTCAGATATTCGATTATGACAACTACACGTTGTCCCCCGAAACCAGTAAGACGCACGCGGCCCCTTGCCCGCACGAAGACATCTACGCTTTTGCGCGGAGGTACCTGCCCGTCGTCTACATCCTGGTCTTTATCCTGGCCGTGGTGGGCAACGTGCTGGTGCTGTGCGTGATCCGCCGCTATCGCAACTCCCACGGCGGCGGCGCCTGCTCCTTCTCCCTCACCGACACCTTCCTCCTCCACTTGGCCATCTCCGACCTGCTGCTGGCCTTCACGCTGCCGCTGTTCTCCACGCAGTGGGCCCATCAATGGGTGTTCGGCGAGGCCGTCTGCAAGATGTCCGGCGCTCTGTTCTCGTTCAACCGCTACAGCGGCATCCTTTTCCTGGCCTGCATCAGCTTCGACCGCTACCTTGCCATCGTCCACGCCGTCAGCTCCGGCTGGAAGCGCAACACCTGCCAGGCGCAGGTGGCCTGCGCCTTCATCTGGGTGGGCTGCCTGGGCCTGGGCGGCGTGGACATTGTCTTCAAGCAGGTGAGCGAGGTGAAAATCGACGAGGGGCGGGCCCCGCTCCTGTGCCAGGTGTGGTTCACCAACAACGCCGCGCAGTGGCACGCCGGCCTGCAGCTGGTCAGCGTGAGTCTGGGCTTCGGGCTGCCACTCCTCATCATGCTTTACTGCTACATCCGGATCTTCCGCTCGCTGTGCAACGCCACCCGCCGGCAGAAGCGCAAGTCCCTGCGCCTCATCGTCTCCCTGGTGTCTGTCTTCGTGCTCTGCTGGGCGCCGTACAACGGCTTCCTTTTGGCCGACAGCCTCCAGAGGCTAGAGGTGGTGGCGGGGGGCTGCCGGTTCGGCCGCATTGTGGACATGGGCAAGGTGATCACCGAGAGCGCCGGGCTGTCGCACTGCGCCCTCAACCCGCTGCTGTACGGTTTCGTGGGGGTCAAATTCCGCAGGGAGATGGCGCGTATGTGCAAGGGGCTGCTGGGCCCGAAAGTCGGGCTGGGCGTGGAGGAGTGGAGGGAGAGGAAGCGCAAGACCACCGGCTCCTACAGCTCTGCCGAGAGCGAAAACACCTCCTACTCGGTTATGGTGGGAAGATGATCGAGAAGCTCATGTTTGTAAGTGGCTTGTCAAGGGGGGGCCAGAAAAGTGCCACTTTTCCACTGTGCAGCACCGACTCCTCTGGCTCTTGAGCTCTGCACATTTTCAAATGTCTTCGGCTTCAAAAAGAGTAATTAATGAAAAAAGATGCACATTTTTTAAGAAACAGCACATAGGCTATACAAGATTCTTGAGGGAAAAAAAGTTACGTGTCCCACCCACCACCCCCCAAAAAGGTTTTCTATTCCAGAAAAAAAAAAAACACAACTACAATGTACCACTGCTGACTCACAGTTAAACACGGCAGCGTTTAGCGCAGGCATCACCAACATGGATTCCGTGAACCAATTAAATAATCATTTCAATCTGTTAATATTTGCAGAGATTTCCGGAAATAAAGTATCTGTTTCCAAAATCATTGCTCGGAGAAACCACAAACTTGATCAGTGTCTTCCCAAATCTCATCTAATTCAAGACAATGTTCGCAAATTTATGATTTCAGAAGTGTGTATGAAACTGGTAGCCCTTGGCATTTATCATTGCTCAAGAAGGAGCTCTCGCTTTCAAAAAGGTCGCTGATTCCTGGTTTGGAGTTTGGACAATGTGTGATTTCTCATGTTTTTGTGTCTTGTGGCAGGAACCCCAACCCACCAGGTACTAGATATAGTAACCTGTAGTAGCAGGTTTTGTCAATAAAAATGAATAAATTACGAGTTGAGCCAAGTCAGTAAGTCCTGCTCAGTAGAAGTCCCCTCATATTTTTACACTTAATAAAAAAAATAATAAATAAATAAATAAATTACAAGCCCAAATTAAGAAAGTACGTACACTGAAATAAAAAGTCAGGTGAAGGATAAAGACTGGAAAATGTTCTCTATGTCGGTATGGTGCCGCCTCATACAAAATGTTGTCGCTTTAATTTTTTTTTAATGGCCTATTTTGCTGTTGGATATTTTTCTGTATGGTAATCTTATGAAATACTGTAGTACTGTTCTTAACAATCAAATGCAAATGTCAAGGTATGGCCACTAAACCAGTGGTCTGGGAATATAAACGTGCCCTTCTCACTGAGCATGAAAACAAAGTGAAAATTTTGTAAAAAAGTTGAAGCAATTCTGCTGACTTTGTGTCTTTTTTCTGTGGCTCCAAAAATCCAGCTGTATGCGTGCGCTCTGTGCCGCAAAAGAAAGAAAAAAAAAAGAGGAAATGATCGCGACTCACGTTTGATGTTCCAGGTGGCACACAACCATTAGCATTGGCTATGTGCTATGATTTGTTTTGAATGATTTATTGTTGGTGGAATGAAATCAACAGTCTTCTTCTCGTACGCTTCTGCCAAGTGTGTTTTATCGAGGGAAAAAAAGTACATTTTTGTACATTTTATACTTGTTGTATATATTACGAAAATAAAGTTAAAAATTAAAGGAAAAAATGTTTTGTATCACTAACTTGGTCCATGTTTTGAGAAAGAAAATTAATTCCCTCGTGTGTATAGTCATATCAAGTTGGAATCTCAATTTACGGGAAACAAGTTTTGAAATATCCCATTGAGATTAGAATGCTTTTTTGAAGCAAGTCCTGTCCAGCCGTTATAAAACACACACCACACACAAGCTGAACCAATGAAAAATGTTAAACACTTGAGTATTTTTTTTCAATTCAAAAGAAAGAAATTATTTTGTATTTTCAACAACAAAAAAAAAAAATGCACATTTGATGTCAACGTAAGAAGTGGAGGACGTTTGCGTCTCCAAAATTGTTTTGCATGTTTACAGAGTTGAACATTACTAAAGAGCGCACTCTATCGGCCGTGGGCTGTCATTGCGCCCGCTTTGTCTCCGTCTTTGTTCACAAGCGTCAAGCCAGAGACTCCCATGTCCGGAAAGTTCGAAGCGCGCTTCCGAAGGCTTCAAAATAAAAACAATACAAATGTTCATTCCTTACTAAACAGAGACAATATGTCTGATTGAATTTTATAACACTATAGTACTAAGTAATACATGAATGACTCACGATTTTGGCATTTGTCATCGTTTTTTTCGAATCCTGACGACACTATAATTTTATTTTGAAGCGCACCCATGCATGCCGTCGTCGTGTTTGTGGTCGTGTGGCGTTGTGTGTTGGAAGCTCTTAGATAACATTTGTTGACTCGAACAAATCCAGACGCAACGACTTAATAATTAGTCATTCACTCCTGCCGCGATTTACCGAAACTAATCTTTGTTGTGGAGTGTTTCTGTTGTTGTTTTTCCCTCTCCGTGTTTTGTTTTCGGTTCTTTCAGTCACCACCGCGCGTTTTGCGTGTCTGAACTGCGACCCCTAGTCAGCATGAAGAGAACGGGAAGCTTCTGTGTTTCGTTTTTCTTCTGGATTTGACGTCTTGCAGACACTCTGCACCTCCACCCAAAAGTGTTGCGTTGCACCACAGTGGAAGTGTGCGGGGGGGAGTGGGCTTCTTTTTCCTGTTATTCATTTGGACCACGAACGACCTGAACCTCGTGCAGCTGTCATCATCTGTTTAAGGTGAGCACCTTTGTTGTCATTCTATTTCTACGTGTGCCTCGCAGTTTTCAGCTTTTTGGCTAGAATATCCCAAAGACAGAAAATGGCTACTTCGGTCCGATTTGTACATTTTCACGAATTGGTTTACTCACTTTTGTTACCAGCAGTTCAGACGTTAATTTGTGTTTTTTTAGGGGACGGTAAATGTGCGTGTTATACAAGATGCACACTGACATTGTCATATGATCAGTGGTGTCCCAATAAAATATATGATGATAATTCACTCAAACGAATTCTGTTTCTACTGATTCGACTGTTGCTTCACACAATGAATAGTAATACAATGAAAAAAAAAAACAGTATCTTCACATGGTTGACTAGTGGTCAACACGTCTGCCGCACAGTACTCATGTTCTGGGTTTGAGTCTCAGTTCTGGCATTCCTGTGTGGAGTTTGCATGTTCCGCTCGTGCTTGCATGGGGTTTTTGTGTGTACTTTGGTGAAAAGCACACTTGGAAGGGAAAAGGGCGATCGGCTCAGTTTGGGCATTTTCACTTTGAAGTGTGTGTGTGTGTGTGTGTGTGTGTGTGTGTGTGTGTGTGTGTGTGTGTGTGTGTGTGTGTGTCTGGTATCATTCAAACCAAACGAGGCTGTTGAAATGACAATGGAATTTGTGTTTGCCCAACACTGTTTTTCTTAGCCAGAGGCTGAGCTGCACTGTATTTGTTTACTGCATGGACGTGTGCCTTAGCGCACAGCCCGATTTGGTCTATATGGGAACTCGGGACTCTCTGATCTCAAACACCCCAACATACTTGTATGTTACAACTCAAGTGTAAGGCAAACCCAACTTAGTCTCAATTACTTTGGTGCTTGTGTGACGTTCGCTGTTATCCTTGTCAATATTAGCATGGAGTGAACTCAAATGACGCGTCCGGTCGGATTAAGTTTAAGAGTAAGAAGATAATGTGACATGCAATGTAGTTTTTAAAAAAATCGTCATGTGGTGGATGTGCTAAATGCACAATCGTGATTTTGGGGGCAGGGTGTTATTTGTTGCTCAAGTTAACTACAGATCACACTTTTTCTCAACTTGAAATTCATTTTTTAATGTTTAAAGTGTCATTTGAAAAGTTGAAAAATGCTAACTGGTTCCATTGTATCACACAATTTTTTTTTTTTTAATTTAGAAAATTATTTCATGTTTCAAGATTAAGTCATGAGACACTACATTAAAAAAAAATAAAATGTAAAAAAAAGTCTATGGTTCAAGGTATTACAACACAAAAAAATGAAAAAGTTCATACAGCTAAAGATTAGAAAACAGACGTAGACTTTTTGGTGTATTTAGTTAATTTAAATCAATTATATATTTTCTCTTTTATTCTATTTAATCTTGACCTATTGTGTATTGGTTTGAACACGTTTCTTAAAACCTCATTTTAAAAAAATTATTATTATTGACTGCGTTAGAAGTTAGGACATCCCTGCCCTAAGGTGACAAAACACAAAGCACGCCAGTGTGTTGTCATGAGTAAGTCACTAAGACATTGTCAATAGTGTTACTTGTGAGAAGAAACCATGACTCATGTTAATGTTGAAGTCAACTTAAGTACAAACGAAGTTTAAAAATATGACAAATAAGATGACGCGCGTGTGTGTGTGTGTGTGTGTGTGTGTGTGTGTGTGTGTGTGTGTGTGTGTGTGTGTGTGTGTGTGTGTGGTGACTTCAGCATTTACACAAAACCTGACCTACATTATGGGGGAGTAATTTAGGTGGCTGCTATTTATGTACTGTATTCGTTTTGCGCTTGGTCTCCATCTTGGTGACAGTCCACACGTTGATGACGTCATTGAAATGGTCAAAGCTGAACGACTGAAGATGAATATCAGAACTTAAGAGGTTCCTTTTAGTCCAAGTATCAAAAGATCTCAAGAAGCCATGTTCAAAAAGACCCAGTAAGTCAGCCGTTTTGGTTCGCAATGACCATTTTAGGGTCACTTCCCTGGGTTCAAAGACAAAATTATCCTTTAGAAATTCGACATTCAGTGTGAACCCCCAAATTGGCTTTGTGGCGTCCTCTTCAAAATTCAGCCCCCATAGCCAGTACAACTTCCCCATGAAGTTTGATAGGCAAGCCTAGCATGTGTAGACCAACAAAAAAACTCTCAAGAACTCGCACCCGAAAACACAACCCGATCTTTCTGACTTGTCGATCGCGATTTTTGCTGATCCCGATCCCCCGAAATTAAAGAAATCGGTGCCGATCTCGATCTCGGCTGATTGATCGGTGTACCTGTATTACGAACGCAAATCAAAAACCGCTTCGGGAAACAAAAACTGTTCGGCACAAATGACTGATTGCTATTTCTGGTGTATCACAGGAAGTTTGCGCCCATAAATGTTTCTGCATCTGAGCCACCAAGTGACGATTAGTTTCCGATTGGGAATAGAAGTTAGCACATTATTTAAAAAATTGTTAATATTGCTCAGCTCCATATGTTGCAAATTTTCCCCACTTGCGGGTCACTGTGGAACATAACACCCCGACATGATTAATGGAAGTTCACTGTTGCGTATGGCACACACAACACTTATTAAAAGATCTCTGCCATCATCTCACTGCTCGAAGTCATTCTCATACCTCTGCCGTATCGTTGCATCGATTACCCATGACTTTTGTATCTACCTCATTTGAATGAAAAAGCGGAAGAGCTCTCAGTCACTGTCAGTTCACGTCGGGGGTGTGGTGTTTCCTGAAGCTCATCTTTTTCAGCGAGTGTGCGAGCATGTGGCTGGGGAACTTCCGATTTAAACCCACACTGCCCTTGCATCATATGATGACACCCTCCCATGTGAGACCTCGACTGGTGTTCTTTAAAAACATTTTTGCGGTGGACATTTTCCAAACGCAGGGAGGAGTGAACCATTTCATCTGTTCAAGAGCCTTCTGAAGACGGACGGCACTGTTGTCTCGGCAGCGGCAGGACCAAGATGGACGTCGACCTGGACGGATTGTTCCGCCTCAACGTCAGCTACGACTACGACGACGACTACGTGTACCAAGATGACGACCCGGAGTCGCGGGGTGGCCGGACGGTGTGGATCCCGCTCGTCTACTCGGTGGTGCTGATTGTGGGTCTGTTCGGGAACGGCCTGCTGCTGGCGGCGCTGGCGATGAAGAAGCGAGCGTGGAGGACGTCGGACACCTTCATCCTCCACCTGAGCCTTGCCGACGTCTTGCTGCTGTTCACGCTGCCCCTGTGGGCAGCGCAGGCCACCCAGAGTTGCGGATGGTGCCTCGGGCTCGCTCTTTGCAAGATCAGCGCAGTTATTTTTAAGGTTTGGACCATTTTGTTTTTGTTCACCTCCCATTACATTCTATTTACAAATCTTAGGCAAAATTACATCCACAATGTAATATATGGGACTAGTAATGAGAGGTGTCAAATTGACCCACAGTCTGTACTTAAAAGTACAGAAACTTGTGTAAAGAAAAAGATTCAACTCCTGTACTTGCAAAGAAAATAGAACCAGAGAGCGGTAAAGTAGCTAAAAATTGTACAGGCAGTCGAGGAGTCAAGTAAAAGTTAAAAAGTAGTCCTCACTCCAAATATGATTCAATGAAAAACTACTCAAGTACTGAGAGTCATGTCTGATTATTTTTTTAGTCAGATCATGAACGTCAGATGGGCAGAAAAAAAACCAAACAAAAAAAACATATTAAATAGGAATGTGCAAATTCATTTTTAATAAATCCCCCAAAATATCACCTGAACTGCAACAGTCATAGATTTTGTACATTGACGCAACTGAAGACAAATTTGGCCGCAATAAATTGTCTTAACTTTCTTGGTTTGCATTCGTAAAACAGTACAATAGGCTCACCAGACAGAGGTGACTAATTGCGGTCGACCTGCTGGTTTTTGTTTTTTGTTTTGCAGAGTAGAAAGTACACATATCAGCTTTCAAATTTAGAGAGGAAAAGCGTTATCAGGAAATAAATATTCAAATTAAGTACAGAACCATAAAAAATTAAATAATTCTGCTTGGTTACAGTAACGAATGATATTTAGTTTCTTACTTCCCGCTACTGCTCATTATTATGACATTTGGCTAACTTGAATACACCGGTAGCAATCCGCAAACCAGTTTACGAATCATGCAAATATGTTCTTTAAAAAAAACTGAAATTTATCAACATTCTCCTTAATCTCAATTTAAAAAACTAATCATGAAAGAGGTTTCAGGCAAGTGTTTCTTGTCATTTTTATACTAATCATGAGCCATCATGCAGTCAGCTACGTGCCCGTTTACGTCAGCAGCTAGCTAGTATGTTCACAGCACAGCGCATTTTTTTTATTGTAATGCTTGGATCATACAGAGCAAGCAGCCTTTCCTATGCAGTAAGTTATCTTGCCCGTCACGTAAAGGCCGTTTCACTTTTGAGGCGAATTGTCAACCAAACATTTTGCTCCATAAGAAAATGTCAAGTTTGAGCTCATTGAAAAATCCATCCATTCCTCTCTAATTGTTTCTGTGGGCCTCTGATGGGAAATGGAAAAGAGTGGAGGAAACGTGCTCAGTGAAAGCGAAAGCTCTCCAGGCATTTCAGAGAAGGGGGATGAGATGGAGGGGGGGGGGGTGAAAATGTCTTCAATGTGACATATTCGGCATTTCACCCTGTAGTTTGAAATGGACTCTTGGGGGTTTGAACAACACGTCTCTTAGGTGCTTTCGGCGAAATATCCCAAGGATCACGAATTATTGTACAATCATTTTAGCAGAACTACTCATTGATGATGCCTTGTCTGTTTTCATTCTGTGCAATAGTGAGATAAGTGAGAAAACTTTTTTTAAAAGCAGAAATAGCAGTGAGTTCATCAGCCAATGACTGCGGAATGTCTTTGCCTTTTTAGGTGCGGTCATAAACAATATAGGACACAGGTGTCAAACTCAAGGCCTGGGGGCCAGAGCTGGCCCACCAGGTCATTTTATGTGGTCCGAGAGAGCAAATCATGTGTGTCAACTTGCTAAAATCTGTACAGAAATGTCAAATTGTCATGTGTAATAAATAACGTTGAAATTTTGCAATCATTTTGTTACCCTGTTTACACTCACTTAAACAATTGAACAAACTATAATAATTGACTTGACTGATCTCAAAACTCGTAATCTATTAATTTGTTGTGTACAAGTGATAATTTTGTGGTTTCACTTTCATAACGGCCCTCCGAGGGAAGACGTAACTCCGAATTGGCCCGTGACTAAAATGAGTTTGACACCCCTGATCTAAGGAGTCGAGGACCTCTACTTTGCCCACTTTAAACAAACAAAATGATGTTGTTTTCCTCTCCCTAGCTCAACTTCTTCTGCGGGATCTTTCTCCTGGCCATCATCTCTGTGGACCGCTACCTGTGGATGGTCCAGGCCAAGCAGCTTTACTCCCACAAGAAGCCCATGTTTGCCCACCTCAGCTGCCTGACGGTGTGGCTCGTCTCCCTGCTCCTCACCATCCCCGAGTGGCTCTTCATGGTATTGGAGCGGCATCCGTGGAAGGAGGAGAGGACCCAGTGCGTCCTCGGCCTCTACCCAGCTGACATTCGCCTGGCATCGCGCCTTCCCCACCACGTATTTAGCGCAGCCGCCGCCGTCGTCATCGGCTTCTCGTGCGCGACACTATGGTTCCAACGCCCCGCCAAAACATTCCGAAAGAGGGCGGTCACGCTCATCCTGGTCGGGGTCTTCTCGCTCTGCTGGATCCCGTACAACGTCGCGCTCGTCGTGGACACATTCGGCGGTGCGAAGAAGACCTCGAACAGTTCGTCCGGGGTCCAGCAAAGCTCACCGAGAACCGCGCTGACGGTCACAGCAGCCTTGGGCTGCGTCCACGCCTGCCTCAGGCCGCTCCTCTACCTCGGCCTGAGCGGCGACTTCAGGAAGTGGACGCTGGCGGCGCTGAGTTGCGTCAGAGCGGAACCCAAGGGCTCAGTGTGGGAGCTGGGCGTAGGAGACGACGCCCCGCTCGCGCAAAGTCCCGATACGGAGGAGTTAAAGCAGATCGCCAGTGTGGAGCAGCAAGTGCAGCATAAAATTTCCACATAGCTGAATTGGGGGAGTGATATCAAGTCATGTGACTCAGACTCAAGTCAGGTACTAAGGTTAAACTAGCAACTTGCTTGGCTAACTAAGACTTGACTGAAACTCAATCGAATGCGGAACTTGACTTTCGTGTGCACTCACTTACCGGTTCAAGTTGCTAGTCACTTTGGCAATTTTTATTTTTTCATTTCACTCCATTAAATTATTTAGTTACATTCTCTTTCAGTATATTTTATTATGTTTTTATGTTTAGATTTTACAATACAGTGCTATATTTTTTCTTTTTAAAAAACAGGTAACAAAAAAATGGTGCCGTTTTGTGGGGGAACCTGAAACAGGTTATCATTGGACAACCAGTACAAATAAATCTACTTACAATGTTATTCACGGAATGCATTCTCTTCAAAATCAAGGTACCGCTGTCTTGCCCGTTGACAAGAAAAAATATGCGTTTTCCAAGTTTGCTTTGTTGATGAAAGAAATGTTACTTGCTGTATAGCGCGCACGCAAACCTGGCAACCCATCAAAATGTTACAAAGCGAGACCCAAACAGGGTGTTCCGAAGATAATTCTGTTTGAATTCAAACCGATATGTTTTTGAGAAAGAGAAGAGCAACATGCAAGGTTTGCAATTTACAGATCAGAGCCACAACTACGATCTCAACTTAATCCGTGACGGGCATCCCTCGCTAACTTCACAGTGTAGCCAACCTAAAATCGGGTAATTGTTAACTCCGCTCAAAGTAGGTTAAGTGTTTAATCGAGAAGACAAAGTAATAACACAACGCGGAGACTGGTTCGGGAACGTTAAGAACTGTGATTGTGAACGTTTTGGTCCAACTAACTAACGCAAATGCAGATCGCACTCGGCATTAGCATGTACAGTAGTGTCAACGCTCAGTGTGGTTGGTGTGCGACTGAGCAATGAGCATGACTCGACTTAATGATCGACCGAACACAAGTCACGACTCCTCCACTTGCTTGACATTTCGATCTAACTTTGGACTTTGTTGAAAGTGAAGACTTGAGACTCATAACTTGTACATTTGTGACTTCGTCCCATCCCCGCCACACGGGTGGCTTATTCACGATGCCTCGTGGAAGGGAATTTTGTGTCATGTGCTTCAAGAGCCGAGATGTGCTGACTTTTCATGTCCCAGAGGACATCATTTATTTATTCAACCACTGTTTTTACAGCGTTGCTTTTTGTCACATTGTTTACACGTTTTTAAATGCCTGTGTTTTAATTGATGCTGTTGTAGTAAACCTGTGTCGACACTGCCTTCTCTTGACACGACCTTCTCTTGTACTTAAAAGTTAAGTAAGCAAGATGCTTTAACCGTCCATTCTGTTTGGTCAGTGAGAACGGAACAGAGTGAAACAGTTATTATGAGTGATGTTTTTATTTGAGTGATGTTTATATAACCCCCAACTCGCAGAGTCCAGATTGGAAGAATCTTTGTCACGTGCTGAAGAAGGCTTACAGCTGTGAACCAAAACAGTTCAACGTATCCAAACGATGTTGTGCTAAAAATCAAAGTGACAAGGAAATCCAACTCTCTAGTGGAGTGTGTGACTTTTTTTTTTTTTTTTTTATGGCTGGTCAGTGTTTTTCTAGTAGTTGTAGTATCTAAATATTATTATATGTTAGAAGATAAGCTCCTGTCCTTATCAGTGTGTGTGTGATCTTAAACCCTGCCAGTCACCTCATAAAGTTGACAATGATAACAAAGACCATTTTACTCCATAAACCAGCAGAGCGAGAACTCCGCCGTTATGCAACAAGCGTGTTTTAGTGTCGGCAAGGGAATTTCCCTCTGGGCAAATGCTGCAATTTTTTAAAGAAAATTTTCACGACAGCTACTACATGTTTGTGCAGGTACATAGATACGTCGGGTGACATCATCGGTCATGTGCGTCTACGAGACTATTAAAAGTGTTTGCGTGTCGACTCCCGGTCTGTTTTGGAGGCCAACCAGACCAACCTGATTTGTCAGTCGAGGTCACGTCAACGCAAAGATGACTTTCACAGATGCCTCTTTGTGCTGAACAGGGCGGAGGAACCTTAATCGGTGTTCACAACGTCTCCTGGGGCCCAATCAAATGCATGAAAACAGTCAACCAAATTTGGATTATGAGTACCGGTAACTCCAGCTCAAACGTCGTTATTGTTTCCTCTCAAATAAACATGTTCATGGTGAGCCATGACAACTACAAGCCTGAACAGTTTGATCACAGTCATGCATAGTTGGGTGAAGTTTGCAGGCCTCCCCTCTTCGCCTTATCATCTGATATATATTTTTTTTTCTTGCATAAGCTGCACATTGCACAAGAGTGCGAAGCTGCTGTTTGTTTTTCCTTCGTTCGCTTCCTGTCAGAATCCTGCAAGATGATTTTCTTGAAGTGTTGCATACATGCCACTGCAGTCATTAAAATTCTATAATGCGGTATCAGGAGAACTTTAAAACTTTATTTTTTAATTCATTCAATTACTGAGACACTTTACTTAAGTAGAAGTAGATACTGTACATGTGTCCTCCCCCCCCCCAAAAATTGTCAAAGAAGTTTAATCTTTTTTTTAAAAATTACAGGCTGATGGTGCAAAAGGTCCAAATGTTTTTTTTTTGGGGGGGGGATGTCGGTTCCATTTAAAATAATACCTGTTATAATATGACTTCTAAGCACACATACTAGTTTCACTCTTTTACAAACGTGAAATGGAAAAATCATGTTTCAATACTTTTAAGCCAAGAGGGGCAGAGTTTCTTGGCCGAAGCACCTCTAATAGCAAAGTAATACTTTTACGCCATCTTGTGGCAAGTGGTATCTATAGGCGCTTAAAAACCTTTTCTGGGGTGGCAACGATATTACCTTACTTGTGGATTTTCGCTATTTGTCGCCACACTCGCTCCCTGTCCCCTGCAAATACTGGAGTATTGAAATAATGAAATATAATCATTGGTGTCAGACGACGTGTACATATACATTTTGTTTGCGTACATTTAATGGCACAATGTAATCAAATATTGGCGGTATATATGCCGTTGACATGTGAGTCAGGATTGTTGGAAAGCAAAGCGATGCTAGAAGAAAAATGTTACATACACTAAAGATTTGCTCCAATTTACGAAGGCCTCAAGCCTCCAGAAGCCACTTGAGGGTTATGGTATTTCGTCAGGGGTTTGGTTCTGATGTGTGCACGCCTCTGTTGACACGCGTTTCAGATTGCGAGGGAGTTGGAGGTTTCCGTAGACTCGGACCAAATGGAGGTTCTCCTGCTGCCCACCGACTGGAATTTGGTTCCCGTCTTGGATGTACAGGTGAGCAGCCGCAGGATGTCCAGGAGCTGACGACGGAACTTGACGCCCACGAAGGCATACAGGATGGGGTTGAGACTGCAATGGAGGTTGCCTACAATCGGGGTGATACTCATGGCCTTCTGCAGCGACGCTCTGAATTCACAACTGGTGCGATTGTTGCCCAAAAAAGCCGTCTCCACCATGAGAGTAACGTTGTACGGCGTCCAGCAGAGGAAGAACACTGCCACCACCGCAGTGATGACTCGAAACGCTTTCTGCTTCTGGACGGCCCCCGTGCCGCAACGCAGCCGGCGCAGGATGCACGAGTAGCAGAAGACGAGGACGAGCGAGGGCAGCAGGAAGCCGACGATGTGGCAGAGGAGGCGGGAGGCGAGCTCCCATGAGGCGAAGTTGGCCACGCATTGAGTTTTGTGTCGCCTCGTGTTCTTCACCGCTTCCAGAAAGATCAAATTGGGCATGGCGAGGAGAAGTGAGAGGAGCCAGACGGCCAGGCAGCTGGACTGGATGACCCATGGTTTCCGGCGGGAGTACACCTGGGTGGCGTGCACGATGGACAAGTAGCGGTCCAGGCTGATGCAAGCCAGAAGGAAGATCCCACAGTAGCAGTTGATCTGAGGGCGCAAAGATGAACTTTTTTTTTTTCTGGTATGCTTACATACGACAATAATAAGAATCATCATCATCATAATATATTTGGACTTACTGTGAAAACAGCACCAGCGATCTTGCAGAGAGGCGTGCCAAAGGTCCATCCCAAACGCTGGCCGTCCTGTGCGGCCCACAGAGGCAACGTGAGCAGCTGCAGGACGTCGGCCACGGCCAGGTGCAGAATGAAGGTATCGGTCACGCTCCACGTCTTTCTGCTCCGGGTCAGAATTCCTAATAGCAACCCGTTACCCAGAATGCCCACGAGGAAGGCCACCGAGTACAGGACCGGGCTGAAGACTGCCTCGAAGTGCTGGCCCTCATTGGGGTCGCACACGCCGTTGAACGTCTCGTTGCTGTCGTACGATTCGTCACTCTCGTAGTCATATCCGTACAGCACGCCGTCCAAGAGCGTCGAGTTCCCATCGAAGGTAACCACTTGACCTCTTTCCAGAAGAGAGCTCTAAAACAGATGCATTGTTTAGGCGTTGCGTCACCCGTGGCGCAGCGGTTCACCTGACGTTCATCTCACTGGCAATCAGTCTATTGAGCAATTTTCCACCTCTGTCCTTCAGCCAGTCAATCCGTCTGTCTGATTGTCCATTAACTGTATCTGTTGGTCCGTCAATCCATCTATCCCCCTGTTGGTCTGTCCATCTCTCGCTTTAACTGGTCTATCTATATGGTCAGTCTGTCAATCATCTGTTCAATCCATCAGTCTATTGATACACACATTGTTTGTCTTTCGTGTCACTGTTGGTGATGGATTCTTCTCTACACGTGCTCTGTTATTGACCAGTCCACAAAGTCAACTGGGAGAGTCTCCGGCTCCCCGCTGCAACCCTGAGCAGGATATGAAGTCTCGAGAAAAAAAAATAAATGAACGTTTTGGTGGTTTTCTTTGGAACCACGGGGTGGCTCTGTGTCGCCGCAGCCTGTCGAAACAACACGGGAAGTACACAGAACTGGTTCATGCAACAATCATTGGGAACCTGTGCCACCTGCCCGAGGGCAGGCTACATCTCGGATTGGTCACGAGTTCAAGACGAAGAGTGACAACATGAATGCACCTGCTGCCAAATCTGCTATCCATACAAAATGTCCAGTAGCAGATGACAACCAAAACGACAACGGGGATAACGTGACAGGTGACACACAAGCGGTATGCTTTTTTTTTTTTTTTTTACTCTGTCTTATTTTCGATTAAGACGCTGGGATTGTCACCCAAATATCATTTACGTGTACCTGGAATTGGAAAGAACCCAGAAAATAGTCAAACCCCAAAACTCAGAGTTGTGAGACAGACATGCTAACCGTTCGTCCCACTTGATGCACGTGTCTATCACGAAACGAATAAACGACGAAAACAGCCCAAACTAGAACCACAACAGTCGACACTTAAAAGTCAAATCCAAACCTCTCCGATGGCGTCAATCAAAACACTGCACTTTGCCTTCGGTGGAACCAATGAAGGGTCTCGTGACCGTATCGCTGTCTAACCACATTTGTAAATAATAATAATAAATAATAACTTCTACGTATTGCCACCGTGTTACTTTTTTTTTGTGAATTATCTTATTTTATTATTTTTTTAAACACTAAGGAAGCGCTCACACTAAAGATAGACCTGTTCTTGACCTAGATAAAAAGTAAATAAACACACAACAGGTGTTCCCGAAATATAAACGTAGGAACATGTCAAGTGTAAAGATAAAATACTGTACGTATATGCATGTCTGAAAATAATAATTGTAGAATTACTTTTTTTCAACAACTTTACCCCTATTTGGGATGGCTGTGATAATAATAATAATAAAAATAAGAAGAAACTTACCAGGCTGAAATCATATGACATGGCTGATAACACAGCAGATGTAAGTACCACGGACAATTGGGCTAATAGTTCTGTCGATAAAAGAGAGGAAGCCAAGAAGGTTATGTGAGTGGAAAAAAAAAAAAGCGAAAACCACAGAAAGCAGGTGTGCTGAGTGAGTTCTGAGTACATGACTGGGGATGCAAATGACATTGCAGAAAAGGTACTTTGAACAACCATCCGCACTCACACTCACACCAAGGGACAATTTTGAGTGGTCAATCAACCTGGCATGCATGTTTTTGGAATGTGGGAGGAAACCAGAGTACCCGGAGAAAACCCACGCAGGCTCGGGGAGAACATGCAAACTCCAGACAGGAAGCCGGGCGCCGGGATTGAACCCCCGACCTCTGCACTGTGAGGTCGACGCGCGAACCACTGGACCGCCGGGCCACCCTTCTCAACCATTAACTATTTAAAATCATCGCAGCACACAAATGTGAAACGAGAGAAAAGTTAGCAACGTATGCTAGAAGGTTGCATTCATTGTCTTCCATCATTGTTACTTAGACCGTCTTTATGCACGACCATATAACCGTATAATCTCTTTCAATAAAATCACGTTTTATTACTTTGTCGTTTGCATCGACCTGACACCTGCCAGCGAGCGAGCCTTCTTGAGACGTGTTCCTGTTTTCTTCACACCTTCTCGTCTCCACTTCTTGTTTTTCTATCAAACTTGACAGCAACGTGACACTTTTTTTGTTCAACACCAACGCAGTGGGGTTGAACTCAAACAATCAAATGTGATTCAGATTTCACATATAAGGTGTCATCATTCGCCGTTTAGGAGACACACCAGGGCACCTCAACAACTTGTGTTGGTGCAAAACAAAACAAAAAAACTGGCACTGTCCATTACTTCTGGACCAAGTGTGCATGACTTTTTCAATCATTTTTCTTAAACGTGCGAAATCTCAGCCGCCTTTTGACTATCTGCCAGTAAATGTTTGTGAGATCAGTATCACTTTCACCCCTCAGATCCAAATGCAAGCACTTCCTCCTTCACCTTTCATGTGACACTATTCTGTGTTGTATTTTATTCTGTCCGGGGTCTGTGGCCCAAACAATGTCATGTGCATTTCTTTTGTATTGTGTTCTTCTTCTTTTTTTGTATAGATTTTAGATACAGCATACACCCTGGATCACTTCTTGTTTATTTGAGTTTCAATGAAATTTTATTTAAGTTATCTTCAGTTAAACTTTTAGACACACTGGATTGAAGGCGCGTGTCCTTTTTATTATAGCCTATTTGTGCTTGCATAATGTTCCTTTAGATTGAAATGAATATTATTTATAGTGATAGCACTTACTCCAGACTTATTTTATTCTGTTAAGAATTGTTTTATTTTGGATTAGTTTGTCGATAGTGTGTGCCCTAGATCAAATTGGATATTTTTACTCAATTTTGTTGTCCATTTTTTGTTTGTTTTTAATTTAGTGTGCAGCCAAGAAACGTGTATTTCTTTCTTTCTTTTTTAATTTTATTTTACATATTATTTTACAGCCTATCCAGTCTGGATCTTTCATCTGCACGTATGGGTTTACAAACCCCTTCCTCTTTTTGACTCATGCTGCTAAGGCTGACCGCATCGTAGGTTTCGGGTGTATGTTGCTCGTGCATGGATAGCAAGTTGCATGATGCACACAAGTCAGTGCACAAGAAATCAGACACAGGCTTGTGATCACCTCATGTAATGATTTAGAGCTGAAATAGGACTTTTTTTCTTCTCTTAAATTAGTGGCTCAATTGCTCACCTCCGTTTTATACATTCATGTAAAGATTTGATCCACTCGTGAGCATTTACACCATAATTTATATTTTATTTCTATAATTACACTATTAGGGAATTTATTTATCATTTAAATACATAATACATATTTGTATTAGTAATTTCAATAAAACACATTTTATGGATTATTATTTATTTAAAAATAATTATTGATGTTTTGTTTTTTTTTTTTTTTACATTTTCTTTTGGTAATACTGGGAGACAAGACAGCAAAATAAGCAAGACAATTTTATTGGTCATATATGCACGAAAGCCTTATACAAGGGGGCCGAAACCTTTTGGAACATTTTTGTGTTTCATTGACTGCATTTCATATGCTGCCTTGTTATTGGCCCCCTTCCGTGCAGAGAACAGACAAGTCAAAATATTATTTCAACATATTACTAAAATGTGTGACTAGCCCTGGCGTGACTCCAGACAAGATTTCCTCGAATATTATTGCTTGGAATTTCTCCTATTTTTATGTCACATTTTTGACTCAGCAAACCCTGTGCAATCATTGTAAGCTTTTGCTCTTGGTAAGCGGTTCTGTTGAATGTGTGCTTTGACCCCAGACTACAGCGCTGTAATGCCATCTGCTGGATAAATTACAATGACAGAAATAAATCAACGCAAGTCAAACAACTTTTTTTCTGCATTGTTGTCTAACAACAAATGCAGACTTGGTGATCGACAAGGATGTTTTATTACGTTGACGTTAAATGTGAACGTTATCACGGTAAAATGTGACATTGTTCGCGTTACAACGTGACAATGGTGTGCCAGCAATACGCCCCCCCCAAAAAAAACTTTAGTAGTAAAGCATTTAATTTTTTTCCAAAACAAAGCAAATGCAAAAAAAATTCCATGTTCATTTATTCTGAATTTAGCTCGAATTGGGATCCAGATGTGCGTTGCGTTGCATCTCCACTGGGTGACGCCGCCAAGCCAGGCGTGCCTGACTCGCTTTTGTGTGGGTGGCGACCTCCAAAACAACAACGAGCATCTGTCTCGTTGCTCCGGCTGCTGTAAACCAGTGCCGAAAAACTAAACACCTAATTTCTCTGCTTGTGGCATTGTCACTTCCAGGCCGAGGTAGCCGGAGAGCGTGCTACGTCGCCCTTCATCAATAATGTCCGCTCCGGATTGACTGCGCATCTGGAGTCGGACTGAGGCTGCGCTCACTAGCCACCTAGCGGATAGCCGTGTTGTTGTTAGCAATCTGCTAGCCGGACGGGCGGCTTTCTATCTCTCCATAACAACTACGATCTAACGACTGGCTATTTTATCTTGGGGGGCAAAGGGAGAGAGAGACAAAAGATGTAAATGGCTCCGGGGCCGAAGAGACGGGAACTGGTACGTACTGTATGTTGGCACAATGTAATGAAACAGATGCTATGTAGCTAACTAGCGAGCTAACGGGCCATGGCTGGTTAACGGTGCAGCAGCATCGCTTTGGAACACTGTTTAATGTTACTCTCGCAGCCCTCTGTGTACATAAGGTATTTTTCTGCACTCGACACTAAAAACAAGAACTACCTAGTCTCGGTGATTTATTTATGTTTTAAATTGTCTAAATCTCGCGGCGAATTCGTGAAACAAATCATGCGTTTTAAGAGGCTGGTTTCCCCCGGAGAAGTCCTTTTTGTCGAGAAAACTGTGGCAGGTTTTTGAGCCTGTTTGTATCCGTGGTGTAGATAGTTGAACGAAGATGTATCATTCATAGTCAATGGATAACACCTATTTTTGGTAACAATTTGGTGATATTGCAGAACAGGAGTTGGGAATCACTTATGTACACGGATTGAAATCAGTTTTAGGATTCACATTCATCTCATTTTCTTCCCCCAATCACACAGACAGCAACAGGGATGGCCTCCCCTCAGCCCGTCTGTTTCCTCCTTGTGCTTGCACTGCTGGCCTGGTGGCCCACGTGCCAGGCGGGTGACTGCAAAGGTCACCGGCAGGTGTTGAAGGGGCCGCCGGGCTACGTGACAGACGGACCGGGGAACTACTCAGTTAATGGCAACTGCGAGTGGCTCATTAAAGGTTTGTACAACTTTCTCAGTTTTCACACAGTGGCAACTTTTCTTGCCAGTGTGCCAAATGGAACATTTTTCAAGTTACAAATTTTCATTTCCCCTTCATCTTTCCGCCCTTCTAGCACCGAGCAGCAGCTATCGCATTGTGCTGAACTTCACCTTCATGGACACAGAGTGCACTTACGACTACCTGTTTGTGTATGACGGAGACTCCTACCAAAGCCCCTTGTTGGCTAGTCTGAGTGGCAACACCCTGCCGCAGCCCATCGAGGCCACGTCCGGGAAGGTCCTTGTTTATTTTCTATAATTTTTTTTAACCTGTCATCCCAACAGCTGTTGCATATTGATCCTAACCTTCTCGCTTCCTGTTTTTCTAGATGCTGCTTCATCTCTTCAGCGACGCCAACTACAACCTGCTCGGCTTCAACGCCACCTACACCTTCTCTGTGTGCCCCGGAGCGTGTGGCGGCCACGGGCGCTGCGACCCGTCCACACACAAGTGCCACTGCCAACAGGGCTGGGGCGGGGCATCTTGCGCGACTCCCCTGTGCTCCCACACCTGCTCGGCACATGGCCAGTGTGACAAGGTGAGGTTTGCAATTTACAATTTCTCCGGGTACTCCGGTTTCCTCCCGCATTCCAAAAACATGCATGGCAGGCTGATTGAACACACACACAAAAATGCCCCTAGGTGTGGGTGTGAGCATGGATGGTTGTTCGTCTCTGTGTGCCCTGCGATTGGCTGGCAACCGGTTCAGGGTGTCCCCCGCCTACTGCCCGAAGACAGCTGGGAATAGGCTCCAGAACCCCCCGTGACCCTTGTGAGGATAAAGTGGATCAGTAAATGGATGGATTGTTGCCTATAGTTGCCAGATGATGGTGGCAAATCAACTTCCAGAAGGGGCAACAAAAGTAAAAAGCAAAACTTACTGTCATGTTCTTTTGTGGAAATAAATAAATGCATAAGGCTTTATTAAGGTGTTACTCCCTAGCTTTACACAGCGCGAGAAATCACTGGGGGTTGTTGTTTTTTTTTTTTTGTTTTTTTTTGTTTTTTTTTTTGCATCAGAAGGGAGAGCGTTGCCTGTGTCATGCCGGCTTCCTGGGTCACAGTTGCCAGCTCAGTCTCCATGACGACAACGGGGCGGGACAGTGGTGGCGCATTAAAGAGGGAGACCCCTACATGTCGCCCAGGACAGGTTCCGCTGGCGTGTACCTGTCCTCCACTGGAGCCATGTACGTGTTTGGAGGTGAGAATAGAATTTGCGTCAACTTTTCTGCTTTACATTTTTAGGTGTTGTTTGAAAGCAACAGTGTGATTGTTTTCATTTATTGTCTTAAAAAAAAAAAAATCCAGGATTTGACCTCAACAGAGCACTTGGTGACTTGAACAAATACAACTTCACATCTAACCAGTGGGAAAGCAGGTCTTATGGTCACTCACCTGTAAGTACTGTAAAGGAGAAGTGTACTTTTTTTGCTTTGCCAAAATACCCCAAGGATCAAAAATGTCAATACTCATTTTTTTGTCTCACCTAAATTATCCAGTTTTTAGGATGGTGCAGCACCACTTTGAGAACTAGAAATTAACCAAGAATCATGTTTCTTTTGTTTAATGGTTCCGTTTTTCCTCGTTTCATTCTTTTTTTAAAAATCACTTCACAAGTCAACTTGTACATTTGAATATGAAGTTGTTTGGCCCTGAATAGTTGAAAGACCGTCCATTGCAACGGTACCCAAAATGGCGGCAGACTGAAAAGAAAACGTTACTATTCATATTTTAATGGCATTTTCCCTGCCAACAGTTGGCGCGGCATTCCCACACCGCTGTGGAGTGGGCAGGAAACATGGTGATCTTTGGTGGGGAGCTGGCCAACGGCTCCTTGGCCAGCGACGTTTGGATGTACCGGCCCCTGCAGGACGACTGGCAGCAGCTTGGCTTTCCCAACACTGGTGGCGCCCCCAATTTGGCCAATCACGCCGCAGCCGTAGTAGACAGTTACCTCTATGTGTTTGGAGGTGGGTTTTTAAACATGGCATGACTCTCCCCGTGTTTTGCAAGTGGCTATCTTCCACCTCCAGAATAAATAAATAAATCAGCAATATAGCACGGCAGCGCGAAGTGAAGATTCAGTACACGAAGAGCTTCCGAACAAGATTGCACTTCACTGCCCTTTGCGCTTGTTATACCCCAGGTCGAACCGAGGACGACATGTTTTCCTCCTCCTTGTATCGGTTCAGCCTGCGGGGCTCTGGTCGGTGGGAGATCGTCCAGCCCACCGGGGGGAAGCCCCCGGCCACCGCCGGCCACTCCATGGTGTTCCACAGCCCTTCCAGGACACTACTGGTCTACGGGGGTCACCGGCCGACCACCGCCAGGTAGACACACCCTAAATGAAAAAGGGAAAGATGTCATATTCAGGTTGAAACATGCTCGATTTTTTGTTTTTCCTCCCATTTTGTAACACTTAGTGGTGCCGGCTAATGCAAGAAGCTAACATAGCAGCCTAGCGCTCCACTCAGGGCTGTTTCTCGTCAAACTACACAAACATTCACAAAGATTCAAGTCAGGGTCCTTACTTCACAAAAACACAGCTCAATACTGACTTTGGCTGATAAAGCTGTCAAGTATTGTACGTAAAACAAAATGTACCAAACAGCTAATTTCGAAGTTGATTCTGTCACTGAGTGCTCCTTTTTGTCAAACAGCACAAACAGAAAGGACTCAGATGCACAGAGATCTATATATATATATATATATATATATATATATTTTTTTTTTTTCCCAAGAAAATCTGGTGAGCACTGGGCATTGACCGGTATCAGATTGATGTGGTATGATCACCTTGAGCAAAAATATGGTATTGAAAGTAATGCTCTAAAATATGTGACTTTGTCTGCTTTGTGAGTGAACGTCAGGACCGACACGAGCTGATGTTAGCCATGCTCGTTAGCGCCGTTGTCTGCCTGGTTAGTAGCAAGCGGCTAACATACTAGTCTACATCCCCTCTCAGTGCTCCTTCTTGTCAAACAGCACCAAGTGATGAGACAATGTAATTTCCTAGATTTAGCGTGCGGGTGAACAACACTGACGCATTCCACGTCGACCAACGCTTTTGGACGGCGTTCCGCTCCCGCTACCCGGCGACCGGCCCCCGAGAGAGAGCCTTCCACTCAGCCACTGTCATCGGAAACTACATGGTGGTCTACGGTGAGCCAGAATAACGACGTGGGCCCCAACTGACAAACCTTCCCTGTACTGAATTGACGTTTATTGTGGATTTGTCTCCCGTTCCCAACAAGGTGGAAATGTTCACATCCATTACCAAGAGGAGAAGTGCTACGACGAAGAGATCTTCTTTTACCATTTGGGCTGTCACCAGTGGGTGTTAGCAGGCGAGAGATGGTCACTCAGTGAGTTGCTCTTCTCATCGTTTTGCTTCTTGTCTCTCTCGCCGGTTTAGCCTAGATTGTATCGTCGTGCTTTTCTGCAGGTGGTGAAGCCGTCAAGGGGCGCTACTCCCACGTCGCTGCGGCGATGGAGGGACGCGTGCTGCTGGTTGCCGGCGGTTACAACGGTGTCACCCGCGGAGACCTTGTGGCTTTCAAAGTCCCTCTGTTTGTCAGTAGCAGCGAAGGTGACAGGGTGAGAGAAAACTCTCTTTCACATGCATCAAAAATCGCAAGACCTGATATGCTTCCGTCTTTGGAAAATTCTTGTCTCACCCATTTCATTTCTGTGGCATTGATATCAGCAACCAAGATAAAACTATTCAGATTTTAAGACAAGTATAAAGTTGGCTTCTGATGGTACCTCCAAAGGTAGAAAATCGCAATGTCAACTTTGAAAAACTTTGATAAATCCTGTCTTTTGAAGACAGTATAAAACGTCTTCTGGAAGAACTTTGGAAGGGGGAAAATTACTGGGTCGTCTTCACCCCAACATTTCATGTCAGTGCCTTTTTAATTGAGCGGCAGCCTGGAAAAAGGTGGATAAATTCCAGTGTGAAATATAAAGGAAGCTTTTGATACGACGACCTTCAAGCTGGAAGCGTGGCTGTAGTGTCATCTATGTTGATCAATATTCTATTTGTGTCAATCCGCGTTTCCCGGCTAGGACGCCATTTGCGCTGAGGCCCTGGATGAAAGCATGTGTCTGAAGAATCCGGAATGCAGTTGGTGTGAAGGGCGCTGTCGAGAGTATGAGCCCACTAATCAGGTAATGCTGGAAGCACACACGAAATGGACCGTCAGGATTACCGCAGCAACTCCTCTCCACCTCCCTTTTCCCACTCCCAGTGCGGCAGCACAGGCTGCCTGGGCCTGGCGCGCTTCCTGTCCGACTGTCAGTCCTGCCTGGTATTCAGCGGCACGCCGGCCACCCTGGCCAGGGCACCCGGCGAATTCGGCTGGTGTGTTCAGAACGAGTCCTGCCTGCCCGTGTCAGGTGAGAGCCAGGGAGGGAGGACGGAGGGGGCGGCGGCGCTCCGAGGGTTGCGCAGCACACTGACGGAAATATGTTGGGAGGGACTCGATTTGGGTCGGGCGCTTGTCAGAGATGAAACATTTTGTATTGGGGTGTTTCCTCAGTGTCAAGGAAGGGCTCCTCAAACGGAGGAAGACTTCTTCGAAGATTGCACAAAACGGATATTTGCTGTCTCTGCAGTCACGAGCTCGATGTCTCTCACACTCCTGTGCTCATAGAAATCAAGCTGTAAGGCTTCATGTGGTTTGCTAAAAAATAAATAGACCGTACTGTAATTTTATTTATTTACTTATTTTTACATATTTACAAAAAATATTGTTGTTTTTGCATTCTGTTACCAAGATAATAATGCTGCGGCTAACGGCTATTTTGATTTCAATTATTCAGATCATTGTAGTCATTTTTTGACGACTTGCATTCTATATTTCTTTTTTTTTTGTGGTTCGATTAAAGTTGCTTCAGACATTTGCTAATAACAACAATGGTGACGACCTCAAATGTATTCACATAAATGTGGCAGACCAGTGGGTCGTAAGTCCACCTCAAATATTTTTCACAACCCATAGCTACTGGTAGACATCTATAAATGTAGGGGAACAAATAATTTCCCCTCCATCCTGCGTAATGCCACACCCTTTATTATTATTATTTTTTAAGCAAAACATTTAGACTTTGTGTGCCATGAAAGTCACAAATTGCTGCAATATTTGGGTTGACTTTGAAGGATGTTTATAGTTCTGCTGTTATTTTCTGAATGTTTTTGTCACTCCGTTATATGTCTGAAGATACGCAGATAGTGAATTTGATTAACAGAGGAGAGTGAAATGGGAGCTTCATTGGATGTTTTATGTTTTCATGAACCAGTTGACCACCAGTGTTTTCTTTCACTCTCTCTAATACGGCATGTCGTGAAGGGCGGGCACTATCCTTGACACTGAGAAACATCAAACACTTGGCTCAACTGTGCCCAGCTGAAATAGTAGCGGTCACTCAAAAAAAAAGAAAAACTTGACTGGCCTCTTCCATCTCTCTGGTGTGCGTCGCCGGTGTTTCACCACTCTCTGACTCGCGTCCGGCAACCACCACGACGGCCGATCAGGCTCACCGCAATATTGTTGAGATCTCACGAGGTCAGATTGTGTTTCTCCGTGTTGCTGACCTCTCCCTCTCGATCTCGCAGAGCAAAGTGCGTGCCGTGTGGACCAGATCTCAGGGGCGTACGGCTGGTGGGGGGAGCGTACCCTTTTCCTAACCTCCCTCCACTCCTGTCGCACCGAGAACTATGTCCCGGGACTGCACCTGCTCACCTTCCAGCACCCCCGCAACGACTCCCAGCCTGACAAGGTACGGAGTCCCCGTCTCAAAAGAGTTGTGCTTGTAACTCCCCTCCCTCTTTACTTACCGTATCCGTCCTTCCTTCCTCCAATGTTGCTGTTGTTAACTCAGACGAGATTGACACTGCATGTCTCGGTGTTCTATTGCCGTTTGGTGCCTTGTTTTGACATCCACATGTGTCTTCTTATGTCCCAGCTGCGATATAATGTTCAATCCAACTTTGCAGAGACCTGATGACACTAAAGTTATCATTTTATAGGAATGGAATCCTATTCAAGATAAATACAGCGAAGCTCTGCTATTGGCCGGGATAGCGACCGAGCACTACCAAAGGAAATGAATGGATAAAGTTCAAATCGTGTTTTTCATTCATTTATATGACATCATTTACATAAAAAGATCATCACAACAGGCGTTTAAAAAAACAAAACTCCTTTATTAGGCACTCAAGCACTGAGTGATAATCAATTTAGGCGAGGACGTCATTGTCGGAGCACAAGCTGTCAAAATGACGGCTATGGTAAGTATAATAGTGTCACAGTCTTGGGGTTCAAGTGTTCGTAAAGACACATTTTCAGAAATAGACACCGAAAAAAATAATTGCTAGACACCAACCTCTGGTGGACAAGCAATTAAAAAGTCAATTTTCCACAGTCTTTTAAGGTATTCCAGTGATGTAGAGAATAGTGCCTCTTTTGATGTCTCCACATGCCCCACCCCGTCCTCCACTGTG